ATTGGATCATGATCTGATGATCCGATCCATTTGCACCCCTATTTTCACTGTTCGGGGTTTGTCTTTGGTTGAGGTCCTGGTACCCCGAGTCAAACATAGTTATACATTTTACATGTATATGTAATGAACTTACATAATCCTAACCACTCAATATTATTTAAGGGTTTGATTTAAACATGTTACAACATTGTAAGTTGCATTTGCATATATAGGATAATAGAATTAATAAGACTATTACTATTTTTTTTATTATTTTATTAGGGAAATTTTGGTGGGTGAAGATGGGAGTTAATCCATTCAATGGGAACTACATCCACTCACCTTTAGCAGTTGGCACCTTTAACTACTATTTTTATTGGTATTTATAAGTTCTTATGTCTGTCCCACTAAAAGGCCATTTGATACCAAACTGCTGAAGACCTTTTTGCTTTGTCTTTTAGGCCCTGTTCTTTTGCATTATAAAGGGGGAAGTTGGTATCCTACATTCTTTTGTAGGAAGCTATAGGGCTTAATCTTACAGAAAATGCTTTTTTTCAGATAAATTTTTGAGTCATTTTCTCAAGTATTACCTCTCTCCTATATGGATAGATTACTTTTCCATATAAGAGGAAAATCATGATTTTAAAAATCGACCCAAAAACAGAATCGCTTTAGCCACCAATCCCTAGGTCAAGTGGTCCGACTATCCTGTCCAAACCCTGGTTAGATGGTTTTGAGATCCAAAACCAGATCCAAACCATGACAAGATCCCGAATCAACTGGTCCAACTGTTCAGTCTGGTCTAGTTTTCAAAAACCCAAAGATAAAAATGGTAACCAAGAAAAAAGTGATTGTGTAAAAAAACATGGATAAATGCATTTGCCTAAGTATGAATGTGGTTTCGGGTAGGAAAAGAAGCTCTGAAGCGGAAAAGGAAGCTCACACAGCTAGGGGTATGAACACATTGTGGATGCTCTCGAGAAACCCCTATTTATAAATTTATTTGAAAGTTTCCCTTTCTAGAAAGTTCCTTTTTGAATTTACTATGCAGTTATTCGATTTAGGGGTTTTTATAGTTCAGTCCACCCCTAGGGTGGAGTTAGGATTTCTTGGGGTGGACTGAATCCTACCTATGGATTGATGCCAAATTTATGGGCAGGATGCGGTTTATAGGGGGGGGCTACTATTAGACTAGGAGGGGGCTGCAATTCAGATTTCTGAGGTGGATTGCAGTTCACTTATCCCCTCGAATTATGCCATCTAGACTGATTGTGCACATCATGATGGCCTTTAATACTTGGGTTCTCACCCTTACCTAGTGCGCATGGGCAAGTGTTTCTGATCATTTGTGACTTTGATTGCTTGTTGGCCTAGGGAACTTACATTGGTGATGGTGAATTTGTCTAATGTTGCATTTGGCATTCCTTATTTTAAGGATTTATCTCCTTTTGCAGTTAAAAACCCAGTGTTCATAGGGGCATTTTAACTGCAAAAAGAAAATAAGTCCTTAAAATAAGGAATGTCAAATGCAGCCTAAGTCTCCTTGGGCGTAAGGTTGTGATGCAATGGGTTGTGTTTGATTAGATTTTACTTGTGCTCAGGCATCATCACTCAGTCTGGATCTCCTGCTTACGTCTACCCACATGACATTGCAGCCACACACGGAGAACATCTCATCCTCATACATAGTACTATGCACGGGGAGATATTTCCAATTCACAAGGATATTGTGTTGTGGGTTGACATGAGTAGGAGATCCAGAGTCTCATCATGCCAATTGCATATTATAAGAGGTGTGATGGCTAAGCCTTAGTGAAAAAGATTTTAAGGAGTTTAGGTTTACTTAATGACTTAAAACTCAAGTTGAATAGATTACTATAACCCTTGAATGTTTTTGTTATTTAATTATGTTATCTACTAAAAATAAAAACAAAGCAATAAGTCATTCAGTTCAGCAATTTCAACCATCATCAAATATGAGAATTCTCAAACAGTTACTCACCTTCACGCCTAATTGGAAATTTCACAAATCTTTTTTTTTTTTTACCTTTTTTTGGAGAGCAACTGTATTCTCTAGAGAACCTGAGAGGCGGGAGGTAATCGGGTAAGGAGAGACAGATGAAAGTGGATGAGTTGGATGTGGGACACATTGGTCGTATCATTGACTAATGGAGTCGGATAGAAGCCAACTAATTTCCTTTTTTCTTTGAAAAAAAAATGAAGGAATTGAAAGCAAAGAGAAAACAGAGTCAACGTTGAACTACTATGCAATATTTTTATATGGGAGTGGATATGCTAGTGTAATTGTTTGGGTAAGCTGAACACCTAAGAAATCCTTCACATGGCAAATAGGTTTAGGGTCCAAAATGACCTCAAATATTCCTCTCGCTATTTTTAATTATATTCTGTTCATGGGGCAAATCTGAGCCCCAAAAACCTCACGCCTGAATAAAGCCTTCTTTTGATCAAGCTTAACACTAAAATATTATATGTTTGAAACTCTCACCAAAGAATATTTTACTTAACAGAAAACACTAACAAAAGGTGGTAAATAGCTGATGTCGACTGGAAGATTGAACAGGTAGATGATATGAATAGTTGAATACAAATTCAGGTTTCTATTAGATCCCTTCATTGTAATGTACAAGGATGCTTTATTCATAATCTTCTGTGGTAGATTTCTCTTCAGTTAAAGGGGTTGTAATCAGATGAAGACAGGTTCATAACTTCATATCCAATTGCTTGTTTCACAATGCTCTTCTGACTCTTGGTTTATAGGCCTCCTGGAATGCTGTATGTTCCAAAAAGATGGAGAGGACCTACTTCTAAATGGATCCACCTTGAAAATCAGGTGGATCATTATTGCAGACAGCAAAAGAAAGTTCCATCAGTGCTAAAAGAAATTAAACATCTGAAAACAAGTGCACATGTTTGGTTGCATATTCTTCTAGCCATGATAACACTTGTCTTAATCCATCTTTTTATAGATGGTATCCATTTGATGGTGGGTCTAAATCATTGAACATGCAAATCATAGAACCCTAGATTCACCCATAATTCTTATAAAGCCGAAATCCATAAAGGACTTGTGTTTTTCACAACTCCAATTCTAAAAAGAACCATATTTAAGTTGCATTTGGTTGCATGTAAAATGAAGAAAAATGAATGATTTTCTTGAAAAACTGATATTCGACATTTTCTAATCGAAAACCAACCTAATGGTTGGAAATTTTTGGAGATTTCCATGGAAAAAACCCAACAATCTATTGGAAAAATTAGAATTAATGTAATTTTCTTATATAGTGTTCATTTGTAAAATTGCAGCTTCCTGTAGAAACTATTCATTTAATTTATTTTTTGTGAAACTAAAGAGAGCCTAGGGTGGTTTTTGGTAGTGGTGAACCAACGTCTGAACTCTGAAAGTTTCTTTTCCAAAGGTTAGAGGTCTTTTTTTTGGACAAGTAAGGTTATTGGTTATTTGGTATGGACAATTAAGAGGTTATCTGGACTGCCCTTCAACAAATTTGTTATCAACCATAGAATTCACACAAAATCTCCCCATATAATATAATGCTTAGTATATATTATCTAACTATTTTGTATAAGATAGTGCATTATGTTTATTATATAACATTTTAATATGATATATTATAAAAATATGCTTATCTAAATATATAATAATATAATGTGTTAATTATTAAAAGAATAAAACTGTAAACTAGGCAATTTCAGATATTCCAATAATCAAATTACCAAACAGCCTCACAACATTCAAGACTCAAAAAAGAAAAAAGAAAGGATTGATATCATGAGCTGTCTGTGTTGAAAAGTTGTTAGTTCGGATTTTTACTGTCTAAGAAATGAAATAAAAGCAATGATAGAAAATGTCATTACATGTTTCAATTGACGGAAAAATAGCCCTTACACAACCTAGCTATTTTTTTAAATGCGGAGCGAAGAGAAATGATATGGCTAACCAAAATTGTCAATTTTTTTTTTTTTTTTGCTGGTAAAGTTTCTTGTCAACTGAATTAAGGGGGAATCGTTAAACCTCCCCTAAGGTTTCTTATAGATTCTATTCCTTAAACATCTCTTATTAAAAGTAAAGTTATAATGGGCATTTTCGTCCACTTGATTTAAAGTCAAACTCAGCAGAATTTTTATGTCATGTGTACTCAAATGCTGACAACAACAACCAAGGCTCGAATAAGTGCGTAGTTTTTTCAGCCATGTGAATTGTGAATTAAGAGGGGAATTGTTTCTGTCCTTTTAGAAAGGTGAGGGGATGTTTTAACATTTATAAGAAATGCTTTGGAGTTCGATCGGCCACTTATCCTGATAGTCTTTTTTTTTCTTTTTGATATCTGAATATAAACACTTATCCTGATAGTCTGGCACCGACTTTTTTCCCGATCAAATATTAGCTGCATTGTTAGAGTAAGATGAGATTGAATAATTGTACTGGCAAGTGGTGACTTGTGGGCCTCTGATCTTCCGATGATTTCTTGATCACTGGTTAAACCAATTATTACAATTTACAAGTGCTCTTTTCAATTTTAGAACTGAAGTCCGATCTCCGATCTGGGTCCAACTTTATTTTATGAAGATAATCGAATAAGTGCTTAATACGAGGAAGGTCATGATTGAGACTCCCAGATTAATAACCCCAAACAGCTAAAGCGTGCACACACGTAGCCAGGATTAATTTTCTATTGTTTGACCTTTTTGTGCTTGTATTAGACATATAGCTGGTGACCCAAACTTTGCTACTTGGTGGATTCTTGGCCAGTTCAAAATTCTAAATAAGAAAGCATTTTTCAGCTCAATATTTACCATATGACAGTTTCAAGCTGCATATGATACTGATATGAACAAGTATCATCAAGTAAGTAATCTGTTGTTACCACCTCCACAGCTCCACTGGATAGGGATTAGGGCGGAGGGACGGAGACCAGCACCTGGCCCAGTTGTAAATGTAGAGCAAGGAGCATTACAACCATTATGCAGCGTGAAAACAGAAATGCTAAAATACAAATCTCGTTGTTTTGCCATTCTTACGGTTTGTTGACAAGTGTTGTTTAAGATCTCTAAACTTTTTAACTCTTAAAGCGAGTGCTCAACAGAGGTTTAAACACAGAATGGGGGTTTTCACCCAACTGAACAAGTACAGGCCTATAAGGGGCGTATCTCTCTAATCCACACACCTATTCCACAGTTACTGATCAAATAAATGACAATGCCCCTACATGAATTAATCCAAATTAATTTTAAAAGCACTCAGATGGAGACAACGCGAGCCTTGTACATACAAATATATGCCATGTGCCAGTCACCTGAAAACAAACAGCAAACAGATAAGATAATAAAACCCAAGAGTTTAGAGCAAAATGAGATGCCACCCAGTACCCACTACAGTCGCCTTTGAGAAGCTTTACCTCCTCCAGATAGCTTCGTGATGTCTTCCTCCCTTTGCGGGATTGGATTATCATCATCATATTGGATCCATTTTCCTGTGACCCACCATTAATTAGTTCCAATCTTCGCTATTTAAATTTTTATTTTAAATGAAAACAAATGGCATCGCTTTTCAAACTTTCAACTGACCGCTTTCTTGTTTGACCCAACCAACATAGTGCCCTGAATCAGCACTCCTTCCCTTGTGGGTCAGCACAGCAACCAAGTCAAAGATTCCAGTCAAGTGTACCTGTTTCTCAGATGAAGAACCTGAGGCATATAAAACCCAAAATTGATTATGTCAATTGAACATTATCTGAAAATGAGTTGTATGGATTTCATAGAACAATAACAGCTCCATCACAGCAATTACGTAAGATATTTGACCAAGGAAATAAAATGCCAACAGAGAAAAAGGGAAAATGAGCACGTTAGCCTGAATGCTCAAATGTCTATAATAGCCTCTTTTATACCTTCACCAGATTGATCTCTGCTACCATTTGATGAGCCCTATTGAAACACAAAATCATTATATTGTATGAAGCAGAACTAAAAACTTTTCAACAAAACTCAACCCATAAAGTAGATGAGACCAAATAAAATGGCAAAGTAAAAGAAAGAAAAGTAAGAGATCATATTGTAAAGCCATATGCAAGCTACCTCTGCATCAAGCATCTTCACATCATTATCCTTCGAATCAGTGTTCTTGTCACTGGTTTTCAACCCCAGCTTCTTACCTTCTTCATCTCTCAAAATCTAGATATAATGATGCCAGGAAAAGACATCAAAAGAAGAAAAGAGGAAACAAAGAAAAAAGGTTAGTTATGATTCAACCAAGGACAAAAATAGGTAACAAAAAACCCTTCGCTAAAGTTCATCACAAAAAAGATGGAATAAAGAAACCAACTTTACCTGGCGAGGAGTTTCCAATTTTTTGCGAAGCTCATCGGAACACAAATCATAAACATCCAACTCCAATGGGTAATCCACTTTCTGAGAGAAGAAAATATGATAATGATCAACCTCTCAATATAAATAGAGGGAACATAGTGGAAGCAGTACAAAGGCAATGAGTGGGCTACTGGAGCATTTTATGATTTCTGAATACCATTCCTTAACAAGATTAAGATTGATTGAGCTATGATCAAAAGATTAACTGTGGTGTTACCCGCAAAATCTTTGCCTTCTGATTTGACTCCCGCTTCCAGAAAAAACGAACAAATTGAACAGTCAAGTACCTGGGAAAGCAATGGACACAATTATCCTTCTTAGAGATGGCTAACTAAAATACACTAGCAGTGGAGGTAAAAGAAACCAGGTGAAAAGGTTGGATTGTTTAACCAAATTGTCTAAGAGCTGGTATAGATGACAATAAATTTTGTAGCACAAGTCAATTATCAAAAAAAAATATCTGTAGCACAAGTCAACATGGTTAAAATTATGGATAGTTGGATTGCAGAGTTTAATCCCATGGGACCCAATGTGGTGGGCTTGGATGTTCTCCACACACATAGGATGGCGATCATAATGAAAAGAGAGAAAGAAACAAAGATTTACCTTGGTAGGTTGTTGATACGCGACTCCTTTAAATAAATGGCACTACGCCCCAAAGAAGGAGAAACCTTCTCCAGTTCTGATTTCAGACCCTGCATTGAATAAAGCAACACAAATTGCCGCAATAAAAGATTAGCAATGACTCATAGACAAGCTCAAAATATCACCAAATGGAGCAACCGAACACCTCAAAAGAAGTTCCGTTCAACATGCAAATAAACCAACATTGTGTAAGGGTCTTTATCAGCAGCCCATTAGCTCATAAAGAAATATAACATAATTATGCATGTCAAGGATCAAAATTTCACAACATATTGGCCTGTAAGTATTTATCAGTAGGTCACTGATACGCTAAATATGGGCTTTTTTGGGGTTTTGACCCATTCCAGGGGGTAGGCAGACCTTAGACCAATCAATCCCCCTGTTTTGGGAAAAAAGGTTAAAAAAAAAGGTAAAGAGTGTCATCAAAACATCCGGTATGCCCCATTCGACATATCGGGGTGTATCTATACTTTTTTATCAATAACAGTAACTTTCTTAACTCCCCGGGTTGGGCAGGAGCCCCCATAAAAGCATAAAAGGAAATTACAACTTTGCCCAAAATAAAGAATCCTGAGCCACCCCTTGCTTAGCTAACCCATCTGCAAGAGAGTTAGCAGATCTCTTCACCCAGCTGGCCAGCTGTATTTCACTTCCATCTCCTTTGTTAGCCGCTTGTAGTTTTTCTTTTTTTTTTTTTGATCAATAACACTTTCATTAACTCATCAAAAGAAGATTTACAAAAGGAAGACAAACACGCTTATCTTCCAAGAGCAACAAAGAACCTCGAGAAAAGAAAAAAAGAAAGAAAACACACTATAGTTACAGCTTAGCCCAAAAAAGTGAATCCCTTTCTGCCCCTTGTTTAGCTAAACCGTCAGCTATCCTCTTGCTGAAGTTCCACAACCCCGCCTTATCCTCTTGTAGCCATCCTACTACCACCTGCAAGTCACCTTCAACCACGAGTTTCCTTATATTCAACTCCTTGGACTTTCTTATTCCCTCCAGAACCGCAAAAATCTCAGCCCTGAGGGAGTCACCTACCCCTATAGGGCCTGAAAACATAGCTGAAATAACCCCTTTCTCATCCCTGAAGACTCCCCCAATACCAGATTGTCCTGGGTTCCCTCTACTGCTGCCATCAAAGTTCAGTTTTACAAAACCATTAGGGGGAGGGGTCCAAGAAGGACTAGTCACTGTTCTAATCTGAGTAGCATTAGCAATCTCCTTCCAGTTTCTCATCAAGTCATCCAGAGTAAAGTCAGTAAAAAGATCTGAAGTCTTTAACCACTATGCTGCCCTTGAGTGAATCACCTCTATTACAGTTCCAATAGTTTTTTTTTTTTTTTTTTGAGAAAAGGTAATGTAAAATTTTATTGATAGAAAAAAACTTGTACAAAAGTTATCAAAAAAAAAAAAACTTGTACAAAGTACAAAGGCCCCCCAACTAAACACTTTAGAAGGGGAAATAGCCCAGACATAACCACATTACAGATGCCATAGGCTCCTAGAATTCAGCCTAGCCCCCAATTTAGCAGCCTGGATTCCCTTCGAGGCTGAAATCCAAGAAATCAGCTTTCCAACAGAGATGGAAATCAGGTCTTCGGGATCCTTATAGTTATTCTGAATTAATCTTTTGTTTCTTTCTGCCCAAATGGTGCTGATGACTGCAGCTGGAATGGACATCCACACAGCTGAAGCAAGCTTTGACAAACCCAGTAATCCCCAGCTCCACAACATCTCCTTCACCGAAGCTGGCATTGACCAGGCAAGAGCCACCGAACCAAGGAAATGATTCCATATTCTATCAGAAATTGAGCAATGTAGAAACAGACACAGCTGAAGCAAGCTTTGACAAACCCAGTAATCCCCAGCTCCACAACATCTCCTTCACCGAAGCAGGCATTGACCAGGCAAGAGCCACCGAACCAAGGAAATGATTCCATATTCTATCAGAAATTGAGCAATGTAGAAACAGATGGCTGCCATCTTCCACTCCTTGACCACATAACACACACCTCTGGTCCTGGATACGAACCGCTCTTTTACATAGGTGGGCTTTAGTTAAACACCTGTCTAGAGCTGCAGCCCAGAGCATTGATTTTTGAGGGAGCGGATGGATTCCAGATTCTGGAAGCAGGCATATCTTCAGCAGTACTCATTGTCATGCGAGTGCCAAATGACTTGATTGAAAAAAGGCCATCAGAACTCCAATTCCAAGACCAGCTGTCTTCTCTGAGCAGATTTAGGGGTTGAAGAGAGAGCAGTTCTAGTAGATCAGCCAATGCAGGGATTTCCCAATCCTGAAAGTTCCTTCTGAAAGAAGGGCACCAGACTACTGAGTTTCCCACCACCTCAAAACAATCAGCAACCACTGCATCTTGATGGTCAGCTACCTGGAATAGATGTGGGAATCTCACTGAAAGAGTAGTATTTCCACACCAGGGATCTTTCCAAAAGGACAGCCTGTCACCCTTCCCAAGGATGGGGCTTAAGCCTCTACTGAAAATAGGTAGGATGTCCATTATTTTCCTCCATACCGAACAGCCTAGGGATGGGGGACAAGAAGTGGTGATCCAATCTCCTCTGTCTGGGTTGTATTTTGATGCCATTAACTGCCTCCACCAGTGATTTCTTTCCAACCCAAACCTCCATATCCATTTCCCAAGAAGAGCCTTATTAAAGGTCCTCATTTTTCTTATACCCAAACCTCCTTTACTTTTCAGAGAGCACACCTTGTCCCAACTAACCAAGTGGATTTTCATCCTCCTTCCATACTTTCCATAAAAAGTCCCTTTGCAGCCTCTCAATCCTTTTGGCCACTTTACTTGGGATTGGGATTAAAGAGAGATAGAATGCCGGCAAGTTGGATAAGGAGCTTTTTAACAAAGTAATTCTGCCCCCCAAGGGCAAGTATCTAGCTTTCGAAGATGCCAATTTCTTTTCCAGCCGCTCTAAGACTGGTTCCCAGATCAGAGCTGAAGTGCATTTTGCTCCCGGGGGAGTCCCAGATATTTTGTTGGGAGGAATCCCACCTAACATGCTAACCTCTATGCCAAGTCCTCTACATTTTCCACTTTTCCCACTGGGATCGAACTGCTCTTACTCCAATTGACTTTCAGCTGTCACCACTTCGAACCAGCTTAGAACTCCCACTAAGAGATCTAAGTGTTCTTCATTGACTTCCAAAAAACATAGGGTGTCATCTGCAAATTGTAGAACCTGAACCTTCTCCCCTCCTGGCACCACCTCAAAGCCCTTCCACCACCCCCTCCCCTACTTTTTGAATGAAGATTGTAAGTAGTTCCATCATACAAATGAACAAAAGAGGGGAGAGAGGGTCTCCTTGCCTCAGACCCTTTGAATTTTTAAAGAAAACTGCTGATTGGCCATTAAGGATGACTGAAAACTTTGGAGAGGTGACACAGACTTTAATCCAGTTTCTCCAAGTCTGCCCAAAATTCATTTTGTTCAACACACAGTCCAAACATCTCCAATTGACATTATCATAAGCCTTTTCGAGGTCACATTTACAAAGTAGACCCAGATTTCCCTCCCTTAACCTTGAATCAATTAATTCATTGGCTACTAAGACATTGTCCATCATTTGGCGACCGGAGACAAACGCAAACTAATTTTGGGAGATCACACTCGGCAGCACCTTTTTCAACCTCTCTGCCAAAACCTTGGTCAGAATCTTATAGAAGCTATTTAGAAGGCTAATGGGTCTAAAATCCTTCAAATTTGTGGCTCCTTCAATTTTTGGGATCAAAGATATGAAGGTAGCATTTAAGCTTCTTTCCAAAGAGGCATTTCTATGGAAGTTCTGGAAAACCTGCATCACATCTGTTTTCACCACATCCCAACAACTTTTATAAAATAAATGGTAAGCCCATCCAGCCCCGGGGACTTTTTTGAATCTAGATTCTTTATCACCTGCCAAACTTCCTCTTCCGAAAAAGGAGCTTCCAAACAACTTTGTTGGCCCTCCGAGATTCTTTTGAAATTAACTCCCTCAGGTAGAGGTCTTTTTTTCCAATCTTCCTTGAAGAGCTTCACGAAAAATTTATAACCATTCTTTTCTTATCTTGCCATGATTCCCCTACCTCCCCCTTTAGTTCCAGTTTTTCAATTCTATTTATTCTATTTCTAGCCTTTACCATTTTGTGAAAAAAAGCTAGAATTTCTATCTCCAGCCTTGAGCCATTTCAACTCATCCTTATATGCTAACTTGTCTAGGAGCAATTTTGCTGACAGTCTTCTTTTCTTTTCTTCCTTTGAGATGGGCCTCTATCTTCTGCTGAATCTATCTCTTTAATTTCCTCCAGACACCTCCTCTTTTCATTTTCAAATTTATTCCAAATTTCTGCCTTCCAAGATTTCAAAGCCTCCTTAATTACACCCAATTTCTGCCTTCATCCAATAGTCCTCTCCTTATCAGAGAATATCCTTGAATTCCTTTCTTCCCACAATGTCCAACACACAACAGCCCTTATGCACCTCCACGTGGCCCTTCCTCTTCTCAAATGCCACCTGAAGAAGGATGAAGAAAACAGAGTTTGCACAGACATAGGGGGGTTCCATCTCCTCCTAAAAAGAGAGAAAACCCATTCCCATATTGTTTTGGCAAAAAAACAAGCAACTAAAAGGTGATAACAGTCTCCCCATCAGCTTTGCAGAGAATACACCAGTGCAGGGATAAGCAAATCTTGGGTCTTTTTCTTTGAAGCAAATCACCAATGTTGAAACTTTCCAGGAAGGCTTCCCAACAAAAACTCCCAGCCCTTGGTGGAATAGGCTTACACCAGACCTCTTTCATAGGGAAGGAAGAGCCAATGAAACCGGAAGGCTGAGTTAAGCTTTGGAAAAAGGAGGCACAAGAAAAATAGCCGAAGAGGAAGGAATCCATATTCTAGGGGTGTATATATACTTTGAACCTTGATGCATGTGCATGTGGACACACAAATTCAAGATGTAGTACTAAAAAATGCATTATATTGCCCCAAAATGGTTGTTCCAATTTATGCATATTTTTCTTAAAAAGAAAGAAAAGAAAAGTTTTATAGGGGGGTGGGGGGGTAGGGGGCAAAGGTTTGTCTTCTTGATTCATTCTAAATAAAAGAAATATTAATACTTACATGCTTTAGACCCTCATGTAAATGGTTGACCTCCTGCGAAATGTGACATTTAAGCGAATATACAGATTCAATCTCTGAGCTCTCTTCACCACTTTCTGCACAATGCACCCTGGAAACAACAATAACAATGCCAAAAATAGCAACAACAGCAACAACAACGACAATTTGAATGCTTTGTACCCCCTAATATGAACCTATTTTTGGATGACAAAAACTCTTTCATACAACAAACAAGAGGCGGGTACTACAAAAGAAAACTGAAACAAAGGTGTATAATCATTTTACTCCTTTTTTTTAATAAATTAATCATTTTACTCTTTGACAAACATCTCGTGACACAAGGAATGAGTTACACAAGTTTGGGGATAAGTTTATAGGACACTTTGAAAAATGGCCAAACAAAATAGAAGCAGATTCCAACCTCCATTCATTAGTCAACTTCTAAAGGTCTAATGTGCACAATTATGAGCCACACTGCCATGCACAAGAACGTGCTTGCATTCAGTTCTCCAAAGAATTTGAAAAAATGAAGTACAAGGGGTGGCATGATCCTAAACTACGCAGGAACAGAGTCCAAACTAGCAAAATTAGAGTGCTGAAATCTAGGACTCTTTGGCATCAAAAAGACAAAAACCATGAGAAGACTATTCCTTAGAAATTCTTAGAGTTTCTTCCCTTTGTCTTAATATTTGTTAAACCTATGACCTTTCCTTTCTCTCCAAAGAATGACCACGTAAGTCAAAGGGCATGCTGTGTTGGACTAGTGAAAAAACTAGAAAGGATAGGGTCAGAAAATATGTCATTCAAAGGAATCTAGGAGTAGCTTCAATGGCTGGGAAAATGAGAGAAAGTAGGCTTAGATGGTTCAGTCACATGCACAGAAGACCATCTACAGCACCCACAAGAAAAGGCATTAAGTTGCAAGTTGAAGGGGGCTAGAAGGGCTAGGGGTAGACCAAAAACAGAAATGCGTAAAAGTAGTAAGAAATTATTTAAGTGCTCATAAAATTTTAACAATGGATAAAGTCAAAGGGCATGGATCTCCAAATCTCTTTTTATTTCCTACTCATGTATTCAACTGTCAACTACTTGGGAATTCTAACTTTTTGAAGGAAATACTAGCAAAGAGTCAAAATTTTCAACATAAAAATCTGTTGCATTTCAAACATAACAAGTGGTTAGCTCTTTCAGCCTGCTTCAGACACAAATTTCATGCTTTAGTCATCCTAATGCCCCTTTTTACCAACTTATCCACCATTAGGCATTTCCCCAATAACATTATACACACCATGAATACTATCATAGAAGGAACTGAACAGCCCGAGACCAAACATGGATAAGCATTTTCAACTCTTGAGCATAGTTTTTAGAAGACAGAATCAACTAAGAAAGTGTCAGACAAATCCCAGTTCCAAACTACGAATTAGTTGATACAGTTGTACATATTGTGGTTGACTTTTATAGATCTTGTTTATATGCCCACAGGACTAGAAATATCTAATACTGTAAGAACTTTAGTTATAAGTAGCAACTATTAGTAGAAAATCCTTATATCTGAGCATAAGCATAGAAGCTCTAAGATTCAAGTACAAATGGAAGGTATTGAACTAATGATACCTTTTTTCTGATAGATAAATGGGATATACTCAAAGGATATGGATCCACTAAAGGATGGTTAAAATTAAGTATAATAATTTTCTAAATCAAAATCAGGTGCATTGTATCCTATTGGACTTGGTTTTGGGTTCAGGCCCATTCAAAATTTAACAACTGCTAAACCCAACCAAAGTTGCACCCCCTACACCATTCTTGCAAGCAAAATAAAAGGAAAGAAGACAATAAAATATGAGCAATAAAAAAAGAGAAAAATTATATGGATTTGAGGTTGTAAGCACCAAGTTGACTTTTGATTATAAGGATTGATGAATCCAAATATCCCAAGTGTTTGTAACCATGTCTCTGACTGGCATGGATAGCATTTTCCATGTCCTAGCAATAATTCCCCAAGGCTAGCTATCCTTTTTGAGGTGTTTGGCTCAACTCAGATATACACCATTCTTTCTCAAGAGATTAATAAAATTTTCAAGTGTTGCTGATCAAAAAACAGTACAAAATGTGGATCTCCTTTCTGTCTGATGCATACAGAAAGTAGAACCTACAAAGGGTGTCGGAGAAAATAAACGTTTAATTTAGGGTCATAGGAAACTGCAGACAAAAACCAATACCTGCTGACTAGATCAATCCCAAAAAGCTCCTTCACAGTCTCAGGGGTTCCACTGCAAGGGAACATTTGATTAATTAGTTCTGTAAATTGCAAAATTAGAAAGGAAAAAAGAGCTTCAACAAAACATAATAACTAACATATGTGTCTACAATTCTGTGAATGTGTGCTTATATAATGGATGTAAACCTATAAAAACTCCAACCCAACCCCCCCCCCACACACACACACACAACACACATCAAACATACAAGATGAAACCTCAATTTAATTAACCTGCAAATGTCAATGCTCAAAGCAGTTAGAAAGAAACAAGATGAGGAAATTTTGCACAATCTAGAATTGCTTCTCTTTCTTTTTCCTACTTTTCTCTAATAGATCATAAATCATTAATTATGCATTTTTATCTGTAATTAATTAATTAATTATACAATTGGAATTGCATCCCTTTCTTTCTCCCCTTTCTCTAATAAATTAATTAATTATATAACAGAAAAGAAACTGAAAAAAAAAAGAACTTGTTTAGTAGAAGAAATTGTAGCATGGTGGCCAAGCATTTAAATTCACCTAAAGCAGCCTGCTAGGCGAAACTAAATTGACAAATTATCAATACTTTACCATTTATGGCAATTGAAAAAAAATGAAATGATATTCAGGAGACCTAAACTCCTAAAAGCCTTATAATGCAGTGCAAGCATATGAAGGAAGAAAATACCATATTAACACAAAAAAAAGGATCTCCAATACCATATAAAAGCAACTTCTATTAGGCAAAAGAAGAAACTCCCATGAAAGAGTGTGAAGGTCGTCCTCACAACCAATATTCTAAGATGGCAAATTTATAAGTAATTTTATGAAGAAATTAGCTTATCAGCTAATTTTAATCACCATAAATAATGCATGTAATATCTAGTACCTGGAATCTGTTTGCCTAAGAGATTGAGAAAGTGTGTACATAAGTTGGGTCCAGCATTCTTCTGCATCCTGTTATTTATTTCAAAAGAACCAAAATCAATATGTTGGAACCGAAATGCTTGGACAACTCTGATCGGGTGACCAATAGAAAGTAAAATAACCTGTTGCATGAAGGCACCATTATGCAGCTGGCCAAACTGAGGATACTTTTTACGTAAAACCTGCAGGAATGAATAAAAAATATACACAGGTTTATTTCATTTTTCTTTCCCTTATTAATCAGTGGGCAGAGCTGCAGCTTGCCAACATATGATTTATATGGAACATGCTACAAACTCTACTTTGGAATTTGGAATCCAAAACATTGAATACCCTTATCAGCACAAAGAAAGAATTCAGGTGAAGGACTGAAGGCATAGTATAGGGCAAGCTTTGAAAATAATTGTGAAGAACCCTTCAGAAAGCTGGACATAAAGTCGTGACACTGAACAGAATCAAATGGTGGACCATGAAACAGGATTCATGCAGCCGACCCCATATAGTTGGGTCAAGGTTTAGTTGAATTGACTTTTCATGTCATAAAGCCCACTGTTAGACAACAATAGGACAAAAAAAAGATGCACATACACATGTAATCCATGACACTGTAATTAATGTCCAGTGATGGCTGATGACTGCAGAAGTAAATACAAGAGATAGTTATTTTAATGTTATGTACTTAACACCATGAAAATATTCTTTCACACCAACCTGATGCTTGCAAATCAACATAAACACTTGCATTTTCTTTTTAGGAGAGGTATCTAAATTGTTTTTTTTTTTTGGTAGTGAATTGATAATTGATAATGGAGCAGCCAAAACAAACAGTAAAGCAAATCTAACAACTAACCATCCAAAATTGCATTGGGGCCACAGGTTTGACATTTCGATCAAGTTCACCGAATAGATCTCGTGTTGCCATGGTAAGGAGATGTGAAGACTGATCCAAATCATTACTTCTTCCAGAATGAGGATATCTGTTTGAAACAATAAATTTTTTATCAGCATATTTGAAACAATAAATTAAACCAAAAAAGCAGCCAATTTCATAGATACACAACCCAAATAACCACTTTGAGGAATTGTTTGTGAAATGAAAGAGGTTGCATTCTACATAATCCAAAAGAAGAAAACTCACTTAAGTAAGGCTGACTTCAACTCTGGAACTGAATGCAAGCACTGTAGAGTGGAGTTCATATAGCAGGTATTCCCCAAATTAAATAGACCAGCGGTGTGACCCTTAAAGAAGAAAACCACATCTCAACATTGTAAGTTTTATATACAACCAACAACAGCACCTTGAAAAGATAATAAGAGACAGCCGAGTTCATGTAAGGCCTAAATTCAAACACAAGTAAACAATTTTACCTGGTCCAATAAGAGACAGCTGAGTTTATGGGAGGGCCCTTGGTGTCTTGGGGGGATTTCAATGTAATCAGGTTTTGTAATGAATCAAACAATCCCCAAAGAACAGTCACAACCAGTTTGAGAAAATTTAATGAATTCATTAATATTTGTGGGTTAAAGGAGCTACCCCTCTCACAAGCCAATTTTACCTGGTCCAATTTCCAAGAAAACCCTCTTTGTTCGAAATTAGATAGATCTCTTTAATGAAGAGTGGGAGAACCATTGGAGGAACCTGATGGCTAGAGCCTTACCCAGAGTCACTTCTGATCACTGCCCTATCTAGTTAAGTCCTGAAACACTAGCCTTTGGTCCATGGCCGTTCAGATTTGAGAATATGTGGTTGACTCACCCGGATTTTGTGCATCTGATTGGGGATTGGTGGAGGGAAGAGGTAAGAGGGGTGAAGTGGAAGGGAGTGAGATTCCACAAGAAGCTAAAAAGGTTGAGATCCAAGATCAAGGATTGGAACAGGGAACACTTTGGAAGGATAGAGGAGCAAAAAGGTAATTTGGTGTCTAGGATTGAGGAATTAGATCCAAAGAAGAACAAAGGACAATGAGTAAACAAGAAAGGATCTTGAGAAGAAACTTAAAGAAGGATTTGGAAGAGTTTCTTCTAAGAGAGGAAATTTCCTAAAGGCAAAAGTCAAGACATAGATGGATCAAGGAAGGGGATGGAAAGACAAAATTTTTTCATGCATTGGCTAATGGGAGGAGAAGGAAAAATTTTGTGGCTAAGTTAGAGGTAAATGGGGAGGAAGTCACAAATCAAGATGAGATAGCAAGATTGTTTGTGGATCACTTCAAATCAATCTATAGAAAACCTTTGATTAATAGGCCAACATTGGAGAATTTGGAGTGGACTAGATTATCTGAAGAACAAGTGTTTTGGTTAGAGAGGGATTTCAGTGAAGAAGAGATCCGACAGGCGATATTTTCAATGGATAGATCCAAAGCACCTGGCCCAAATGGCTTCACAATGGCTTTTTATCAGGACTGTTGGGATATGGTAAAAGAAGACCTTATCGGGGTGTTTCAGAAGTTTGCAGATACGAAAAAGGTAAGCCCTAGAGTTAATGCCACCTTCTTAGCCCTAATCCCAAAAAAGATAGATGCAAAGGACCCTAAGGAGTACAGGCCGATGGTTTGGTTACAAGCATCTATAAAATTCTGGGCAAAGTGTTGTCCTTAAGAATTCGAGTAGTACTACCCTCCATCATTAGTCAAGCACAAGATGCTTTTTGCAGAGAAGGCAAATAACAGATCAGATCCTAATAACAAATGAGTGTGTGGCGGACATGAGAAAGTCGGGGAATCAAGGTTTTGTATGTAAGTTAGACTTGGAGAAGGCTTATGATCTTGTGGATTGGAGCTTTTTATTAGAGGTCCTTGGGTGTTGTGGTTTTAGAGATAGATGGTGCAACTGGGTAAAGGGTTGTATTAGCTCCTATCATTACTCAGCCTTGGTGAATGGGGTGGTCAAAGATTTTTTCCCTGCCTGTAGAGGCCTTAGACAAGGTGACCCTCTCTCCCCATTTCTTTTCACCTTAGTTGCAGATGTTTTCAGCAGATTAATATCTAAGGCAAATAGGGAAGAGGAAGTGAGTGGCTGGAAGATATGAAGGAATAACATTAGGGTAACCGACCTACAGTTTGCTGATGATATCATAATTTTTTGTGAAGGGGGTGACAGGCAAAAAGTGAGGAATCTTAGAGCATTGATACAACACTTTGAGGAGGTATCAAATTTGAGAATAAACATGGAGAAGAGTTGTGTGGTAGGTGTGAATATGAATGAGGGGATCATCCAGACTGTGGCAGATTCTTAGGTTGTTCTGTCACTACTTGGCCTCTACAATACTTAGGTCTCCCTCTAGGGGCTAATCCAAAAGAGAGTAGTTTTTGGACCCCAGTGTTGGAAAAGTTTGAGAAAAAATTAACTTCTTGGAAAAAGAACTACATCTCTATAGGGGGTAGAGTGACTTTATTGAGAAATACTCTAGCAAATCTACCGGTCTATTTTCACTCTGTTTTCAAGATTCCTAATAGAGAAGCTAAAAAGTTGGAGAGATTAATGAGAAATTTCCTTTGGGAGCCAGGGGAGGAAAAGAAAGACCACCTAATTAACTGAGAAATAGTTTGTAGGAGTAAAGAGGAAGGTAGCTTGGGACAAGGAAGGTTAACTCTCAAGAATAAAGCTCTCCTACGAAAGTGGTTGTGGAGATGGCCTATAGAAAGGGAGAGGTTGTGGCATGAAGTGATAGCTAGTATACATGGTAGACTGGAAAATGGTTGGGATGCGGGTGTATCACGTCAAGCTATGTTGGCTTCCCCATGGAAAGCAATCCAGAGTATCCTCCCTCTGTTTCTCAACTTTGTCAGGTATGATGTTAATTATGGTACCTCTGTTTTATTTTGGGAAGACATTTGGGTGGGTAATGTTGCCCTAAAGGACCAATTTTCGTCTCTTTATTCCATTTCCCTTTACAAGGAAAAGGTTATCTCTCTTTTTCTCCCATCTCCTTTTTCACCCCCTCCTTAAGTTGGGACTTCGGCTTTCAGAGAGGCTTGAGGGATGATGAACTTAACAGTGTTTCAGATCTGTTGTCCCTTCTTGGCTGTGCCTTCTTGGACCCCCGTAGTTTGGATGTGAGGTTATGGTTCCCTCATCCAAAAGGTTACTTTACCTGTGCTTCCTTTCTCAAATCCCTTTGTTCTTCCCAGGGACAGTGGGGTTTTCCAACCAAGGAGATTTGGTCTAGACCGATTCCACCTAAAGTTATTATTTTCTGCTGGGAGGTGTTTTATAGAATGATTAATACCCTAGACTGTTTGCAGAGGAAAAGGCCTTCTTTGTGTTTGTCCCCTAACTGGTGTGTACTTTGCAGGGCTAGTGGTGAGGACTGCTCTCACTTACTTGTATCTTGTTCCTTTTCTAGTGCTATTTGGAGTTGGATTTTCTCTTTGTTTGGGTGCAGGTGGAATCTGTCCACAGATTTAAGTCAGCTATTCGATCCTTCATTTTTTGTGTGGCCTACAAAAAAAGGAAAAATAATGTGGAGATGTATTAGAGCAGCGGCCTTGTGGACAATATAGGAAGAAAGGAATGCAAGGGTATTTAAAGAGGAGGAGAGAAGCACTCAAGCTGTTGAGGACTGTATATTAACTAGGGCCATTCATTGGTTGAGAACTATGGACCTATTTTATACGTTCTCCTTTGATGATTTTTGGAGAAACTGATTAGCAGTGGCTAACAGCCATACAAGGAAGGACAGGAATTTTGTTGTGTGGATGCCTCCACCTGAAGGATGGGTAAAGCTGAATTTTGATGGAAGCAGCCAAGGAAACCCAGGCCCTTCCGGGATAGGAGGGGTGCTGAGAGATAATGAAAGCAAAATATTAGCATTGTTTTCAGGCCCTGTGGGAATAGGAGACTCCAATAGAGCCGAGTTATTAGCGGCAGTACAAGGTATTCAGATTGCAGAACAATTAGGAGTCCAGCACTTGGTAGTTGAAGGGGACTCTGAGATTGTTGTGGGTCATTCAGCTATGTGGCGACATAGAGATATGCTAAGGAAAGTCAACTGGATCACAAAAGGCATGGCTGTTACCTTTCATTGGGTGGGAAGATCAGCAAATGCCTTAGCGGATGGGTTAGCTAAGCAAGGGGCCTCAAGGGAACATTTATTTTGGGCTGCTTTGTAATTTTATTTCTGGTTAATTCTGGTCAATTCTGCTTTAGTTTGATGTAATATTTGTTAGAAGAGGTAACAACTCATGCCTCCTCTTGGGTCTACTGTATTGCCTCATATTTCTGTTTTAATAAATTATATTCATTCATCAAAAAAAAAAAAAAATTCAAACACAAGCAAACAAGAACCTATCCTTCAATTTACATCATCCATATTCTAGAAATTGATAATATCCCTCTTCCAAGCACTAAAACATGCTACAATATTTTATACAAGTGTGCAGAAATTTTCACAGAAAGAGCTGACAAGGAAGAACATCTGCCATCAAGGACTTGTAAGAAGGAAAGAGGAAATAATGTCTTTAGGAACAAGATTTAGGTTTGAAATGAAACATATTTTATTGGGCCTCAATTCTTGAAGTGTTGGAAGGAATTATGACAAGAAAAAAAGTTTTTTGATAGTCGGAAATAACCATTAGGAGGTTCATTTGGCTGCTTTCTGTTTCTGTAAATACTTGGTAGCTTTCTTAGTTTATTTTTCCCCTTTTCATGAATAGTAGCATTACACATCAACCTAAACTTCTAATGACCTGGCAGTTAAAAATGTTTGTAACTCATAAGACATTTTCTTTGAGATCATGAATCCACTCCAAACATACCATAAAAGAAGAAGAAAATAATCTTAAGACTTCTGTTTATGTAATCTTCTGGTCCAGATCATATCCTAGGGATGACCTGTTGAAATTATGTTGTATGGAGCAGTGTTGGGGTCAAGAATCAAGAAACAACACATCCAAAAATAAGAATTTAAAAGAGATGCAAACGTTGAAATGGATAAGTGGAAAACAAAACAGAAAGTACAAAAACCGAGCATATCATGGGAATCTAAGAGGATAAAATGAGGGAATGTAAACTAAGATGGTGTGGTCATGTCATGTGCATAAAAGGCCATCTACAGCACCAGCAAGGTCATGTCTAGAAGAGCTAGGGGCAGGCCGAAAGGACATTGATCAGAAAAAAAGGACATGGACTGAACTAGTGAAAAAAATGACTTTAAGGTCATAATTTAACAAGGGATATGAAATTAATGGCAGTGGGTCAAATCTTTGAAAACCTTTGAGCAGTTCTCTTCAGATGATATATTAGAGGCTGGCAGGTTATAGCATAATCACCTTCAGCTAGAGTAAGAATGGTAAAGGAATAGTGTCCACCAAATGCAAACCAATGGAAGCTCAATTTTGATGGCTGTTTGTTGGGCAATCCCGGAGAATCAGGTATTGGCAGTGTGATTAGAAATAGCCATGGGGCAATGATGGCCTTATATTCAGGTGCCCCATAGGCTCTTTTTTTTTTTTGATAATTAGGTGCCCCATAGGCTTTGGTGACTCTACAAAAGTTGAGTTGATGGCCAAGGCTTAAAGTTGTGCTCGATTTGACAATTGAGGAACATGGCAGTAGGAGGTGATTCTTGAGTTGTGGTGGGTGGCTGAGGAACAATTGTCGAGGCAAATGGCATCATAGGCACACTTTGAGAGAGATAAGTAGTCTACAGGCATTGGGAGTATAGTTAGTCACTTAGTTGGGTACCAAGAGCAGAAAACACCTAAGCTGATCCACTAGCAAGGTGATAGGCCCCAATTAACCTTACGTATGCCAGGAAGAGGAAAGGTCAACAATCAGCTAAGGGGGGGAAATAATTGAACAATTAATCACATGAGGGCAATTATAGCTGGAGGGAATAAGGAGAGTCTTGGGGCATTTATAGCTATGTCAGTTATGAAAAAAGAAGAGTTTTTGGGCATTTATAACTAGGCCATCTGGGCATTTATAGAGGGAGTCAGCTATGCTATCAGAAGAGTATAAGAAGGGGCTTTGGGGGATAGGGGGTGGTATGTTTTTCTTTGAATAAAGAATATTGTGAGTGTTTGGGAGAGTCGGCGGTCTCTCGAAGAACCGACCAACTGTTAATGTTTTCTGCTGAATGAATACTAGTTTCTTTTGTTGATGTTCGAGTGTGTGAACGCTGCTGTAAGTCTGTGAACTGCGTGTCAAATTTCTGGGTCATATCACAAGGAGTCAACAGTGACCAACTATTCTAGGGTGTAACTAAAGAAGATTGTATGTGAAAAATAGTGGTAATAGGCTGGGTTAGGTGGTAAAAACTAGCCTAACAAGAAGTAACTTTCTTCTATATATACAATCTTTCTTCATAATTAATAAAGCTTATCTTTAACCAATCAATATATATATGGAATGAATGGCAGAACCGGATTCATGCAGCCAACCCCATATAGTTTGGCATTGCTTTGTTAAGTTGAGTTCACTTTGGGTCATTTCCTAGATTTTATTTTCTCCTTTTCTGAGAACTGGTAAAGATGTTTGTCTTAAGTGTCAAAAAGTGCATCAAAAGATACCACTGGGTCTGAACCCAGCTTGTATGTCTTTTTGAGTTGAATAAAATTACATTACCTTTTCCAAAAAAACATTACCACTAACTAAGGATGAAGTAGGTTCTAGGATGGGACTAACAAGTGATAACCACAAAAAGTCAAAGCTGCTAAATGATTTTGTAAATACTCATGCAGCTATTGAAAGAGCTTAGACAAACACTAGTATTGCTATCACATTGAATAAAAAATGAACTTGTTTTTCTGAATAAAAGAGATTTGGAACTAAATAGACAAAATCCAACTAAGGAAGCATGTTAACAAGAATGCCAAGAACCTCACCACAGCAACCACTTGTTCTTCTTCAGGAAGGTCCTCTACAAAAACAGGGCCCTTCTCTGGGGCTTTCACAATTTCATCTGCAGTTCCCATCATCATCAATTTTTGACCCTAGCCAGAAAAACAAATAATAATAAAGGGAATAATCATTACAGGAGCCCAAGAAAAAAGAAGTTTCTTAAGTTTCAAATAACATGTAAAAGATACTCACATTTTTCACTCCCAACGTGGACCAATCTGCATCATCCTGCAGGAACCAGGGAATGAGAATATTAGATCAAGAAATTTAAATGCACATTACCACTTTTATTGACTGCATATGATACCGTCCGAACAACCCGAACTAAAATTCCCTTACTGCTTCAATCATTCTTCTGCTAAACTAAATGCTACAGAACACAAAATCCTATTTTTAATCCAATAAAACTTGTCTATTACTTTATTACCTTCAGCAAACCACCTTTAACCATAATCTTCTGCCTTTCTGGGGGAACCCCTGTTAAATCATACAATTGACATTTAAAAACAAAAGGGGGCTGGCTTGTGTCAATTTCTACAGCTGGGAAGAGCTCCTTTTGCCATTTCACACTCACTGAAAAAAAAAATGATACATTAGAATTTCTCAATGGCGATATCTAATTGAAGCTTGACATGGAAAGCATAATCAAAATGAGTGGAAAAAACAGAAACAAAATCAGTGACACCTTTTTTATTTACAAAAAGGATACATGAATGCAGCAAAATTACATGGGCTGCAATTAAGTAAAAGCAGATTCTTCTTTTAATTAAACATAAACCTATAAATAGAATAACTTCCTAATGAGGAAATCCAAAGTACATATGTAACAAAATAATTAGATATAGAACAAGCTAGGGCCTGGGGACTGTGTACCAAAATTTGCCATCTGTTCTATGTTAGGATGATCAGGTCCCACCATTTAATGGGTTCCACCTTGATGACAAATTGGGTCAAAATTCAATTTCAAACGTTACCTAAAATATTTTATTTTTAAGCAAGCAGTTAGTCATTAGTTAACAGTAATTAAACTCACTAAAAGCTCCAAAAATGATGCAAGAATCAAATGACCTAAGGACATCTTATCAATTATCATGCCTTGAATAGCCTTGGAAAGCTATTCCAAGGTAACCAAAGGTCTGTGGAAGGGTTATGTGGAGAGCCACTAGAGCTGTTGTATTGTGGTCAGTATGGGAGGAAAGAAATAATAGGATTTTCAAAGGTAGTTGTTGACCCAAGGAAGAGGTTGTGGAAGGAGTAACCACTATGGTTATCCATTGGTTGAAATCTTGTGATCTTTTTAAGGACTTCTCAGCTGAAGACATTTATAGAAATTGGAGTACTGTGGCAGCTACAACTTCTTCCAAAGCTGTGGTATAGGAAGTTTGGTCCCCACTGACACAACAAAGGGTAAAACTTAAATTTGATGGGAGCCCTATAGGTAATCCGGACCCATCTGGTAATAGGAGGTGTTTGTTTTCAAAGATAATGAAGGCAAGATAATGGCTTTGTATTTAGGTCCAGTTGGAATTGGAGATTCCTTAAGAGTGGAAATCTTGGCACTACATCGAGGAGTAAAACTAGCCAAACAATTGGGGCTACAGCAGATTGAGATTGAGGGGAACTCCAAATTAGTAATTGGGTGGATGCAATCAGGGCAGCTGGGAATTTGGCAATATAGACAGCTGATAAGGGAAATACTTAGCATAACAAGGGAGAAGAGTGTTTGTTTCAAGTGGGTAAGGAGATCAACAAATGGTTTTGCTGACACCTTAGCAAAACAAGGGACTGCAAGGGAGAGACTTTACTGGGCAGCAATGTAATGTTCGATGTGTAGGTACAAAGTGCTTGCTTAGTCCCTCAGAGCTAGACCTGTTCATGGGTCGGGCGGCCCGACGGGTCGGCCCCCGGACGGGCTTGAACAAGTTTATGGGCCCACGGGCATAACCTCGGGCCAAAAATCCCAGCCCACAATAAATTCGAGCCGGGCTCGGGATTTGCCAAAATAGCCCAGCCCGAGCCCGACCCGGCCCGACCTATACTTAAACCTAAATAAAACCCCTAGTCGAGACATCTATGTCTCTTCCCATTCTTTTTTTCAGCCGACCCTTCATCTCCAATCTCCAGTTCTCCACATCCTCCACACTGCACAGTTCTCATCCTCACACTCTCAGGCAGCCACAACCGGCGAGGCGGCGAACGTTCACCGGCGCAACAACTCCGACGGCGGCGATGAGCTCTCTCTCTCTCTCTCTCTCTCTCTCAGACGCAAATTGATCAAGTGATCATTGTTAAAATCGCAGGTCAAGCTCGCAGCTCACAAACCACAGTCACCGATTCACCGCGAACTCTCCGGCGAATACAATCACCGGCGGCGGCGATGAGTCCTCTTTACCATTTTATTCTATAACAATCTTTAGTGTTTACTGCTTTTATAACTGTTGGTCCTGCTGAAAAGAACAAGGCAGAACCGCAGAAGTGGCTTGTTTCTTCCTGAGAATTTGTTAGTGCTTGAAGCAAAAACGTCAGGAGACTCAGAAACGTCGGGACCGAATATTGGTTGCACGTGAAACTTTAAGTTACACGTGACCAAGTGCCACATCAGTTGAGTGAAATGAGAAAGGCGGGTAGTACACGTGAGTTATGAGGATCTTTGGGAGAAAGGAAAGTCAATCTTCGAATATCCTATAAGAATACGTGGTGAAACCCTAGCAATGCTCCTTAATGACCAACAGCGAATCCAATATTCCGTTTCCTAATAGAAGACAAACACCTCTGGCTCCTTCCTTTATGGATCTCAGGGTCTTCCCTATAAATAGAGATCCTTCTCATAGCGAGATTCATGCTTCCAATCATTGATTTAACCCTATCATTGGATTCCCTGCTCGGTCGTCTCTTCACCCTCTTCGCCTTAACCTTCTGTTTGAATCCTCATCCTCGGTCTTCCTCTGTCTTTCAAGGAGACCATCACCACTAGCCTAACCACCACCTTGCTTACATGATGTTTATTGGATCAACCTCTTCTAATAGGGGTTGACTTCTGTATTTCAACTTTAAATTATATTTAATGAAAGTTACCGTTTCTGATAAAAAAATTACCATGCTAGTATTTGGTGTAGGCAACTAGGCCCTCTCTTAGATAGGACCCCTCCAATAATAGATCCTGATCTTCAGAATATACACCATGTGGTAAATTAGACGGGCCCCAGAGCATAACTAGCAGTATTGTCTCCAGTTCTAAGCGAATTTATTAGATATAACTAGTTTTAGCAATAATGACAAATTCTAGTTGAGAAGAATTTGTCAGACTTGAATCAAATCAACACATACTTGCACAAGTCAACCACAAGATTGGTGAGAACGAGAAGATAATAGGCATTCAATCCCATGCAAACGTAGTCCCAAAGTTATTTAAACACTTGATATAATATAACCTGTTCTCTAACAAGTACATAAGATGACGAGGGTTAAGCTAAGTCCTACCAGGACCATTCTTAAAACAGAGAGCATAATAGAAAAATAAATAAAAAAGTATCCACATGCTGGAAAAAATAAAGTAATTAAAATAGCTGAATCTTCAGACAGCTTCAAGTGCTTCAAGACCTACAATCTGCAAATACACCACATGAGTACAGTTAAAGCAGCATTTCAGGCTTAAGTTTGGTTATGTGATTGGAAGCTGCCCATTTTATGATCCCTATATTCAGAAATAAGTTGTTCGTTTGGCTCTTATTAGTTTTAGAGAAAATCAATATCACTAATCATAGAAAATAATCCATCCATAGGACTACAAGAATCAGATTCGCAGTGTTTCTCAAAAATATGCATCAACTTTTTTTCTGTTTTCCATTACAAGTCAAAAAAAAAAAAAAAGAACTGTCTTGCAGATTGTGACTATAATAAACAGACAATGCAGACTGATTTATGTCACGGAATCTTTTTTTCCTTTCTTTTTTTTTTTTGTTTTTTTTGTGTGTGTGGGGGGGGGCGCTCAAGCTCATATGATTGTTATATCACGGTATGTGTTGTACGATATTCCTGATTTATATCTCTTCTGAAATTAGGATTTCGAGTCTTACTGAACTTGGTACCATCAAATTACACCCATAGCTTAACCATGTGACCACCGAGTCTATAACAATGCAAGTTTTTCATGAGGGATGAAACTGGGTCTATGAAACTCGAGTTCAAATAATAGCACCCTGATATGCTCTTCTTTTATTGTTAGCCAGACACCAGTTCCCAGTTCCAGAACCTGAATATTATGATCAATCAGACACGAAAACTCGGATCAAAAATAAAAGCGAATGACCAATTGACAATAAACCAAGCCGCCAAAATCCGAACTAAAATCAAGCCTCGGTTCCAACCATTGGACGAAGATAAACAATAATCTAAGTAAAGAAGGGAATGCGAAGAATATTTAAATAATTCCAAAAATTAACTAAACTGCAGATGCCGCTCAATAAGACATGCTGTTATCAACGAAATCTTCGGACAAAAAAAAGCGAAAAAAAAGAAAGAAAAACAGTAAATCGAAGTATCAGACCTTTAAGCATGTTTGCAGAGCTTCCGAGTTTTGCAGGAGAGGTAGATGGCACTAGAATGGTCTGTTGTTTACTTGCGGGAAGGGCAACGTCCTGAAAAATTTTTTCTTGAATCGCAGATTGAAATAAATAGGGCAAACAATCAGGAAGCGAGATATTGGAAGGGGTATTTTCGTCTAGATAATTTAGGGGCTGATTGGTAATTTGGGATCTCTTTCGGAGGGATAAACCCTTCCTAGAGTTGGTTTGGTAAGTTGCTTTGAATAAGCGATTATTGCCCATTTGGGAGGTTCCGCTCCCGTTGCGGCTTTTGGGCTTTTGGCTATGCATGATGGATGGTTATTGATGGGCTCCAAGCCTCCAACGATCCAACCAGGCAGCGTAAAAGCATAAAAGTATGGTGGGTTCCACCCAGACAGCACAAAAACAATATTTAGTGAGAAATCAAAAGAATCCCCCTCCCCGAACTCTGGCTTTAGATTTCGCTGTGTTGACCGAGTGGCTTAAAATAAGTTATCAAAACAATATTCAGTGGAAGTTGATTTCTCGAATTAATTTAGGTGTTTTGGCACTTTTTAGGTTTTCATTAGGGATGGCAATGAAGAGGGTTTTGTAAATTCTAGACCTGTCTCCCTAAACCTTCCAATCCATACCCACTTCAAAACCCATAGCGGTTGTATTTTGAGAATCCAAACCCTCCCTGCACATGAAAGTGCAAGACCCTCCTTGACCCTACCCTTCCCACATTTAAGGGTAGGGGCGGGTTGGATTTAAAACCCACATCTAATTTTCTATTATTTCTTGTCATATATAAGTAATAAATAAGTAAAATAACACAAATAAACATCAAGATTTTTAATTATTTGATCAATACATGTAAAAAAAAACACATAAGCTATAGTTATCCTTTTACATAAAATTCAAATATATAATTAAATTCAACACCAATACATAAAGTTTATATGACTTTTCCAACAATATGCATGTCAGAGAGGGTCGAATTTAGCATAATCCCATACCCCACTCATACATGTACGAGTTGTAGAATCCCAAAACCCATACCTGCCCCAAAACTCATTATTTAGTCAAAAAATAAAACTCCATCGGGGATGACAGATACCCACTAGGTAGAGTAGAAATTGTCATCTCTAGTTTTCACTTAGACACACTTCACAACCTTCCAAGTGGGCTTACCTTGCAACACAATAAACTACTACATGAAAGCCCTCTAAATAAAAGTAGTTTTTGTTCTATAGCCATGTGCATCGCTGAAAGACTTTTTTATTGTTTACCATGCATTCCTTTATACTATTTGGGTGGGCTTCCCTTGCAAATTCAATATTAATGTGAGACTTTCCAAATGCACACTTAGGTGTTTTTTTTTTTTGAAAAGGCACGCTTAGGTGTTCTTTCTTATTCATCTTTTGACTTTGGCCCCATGAAAATGAGTGTAACATGAAAGAAATTTGATAGGAAACTCCAATATGAGGATTATGTTTTGATTGATCCAATAGGTTTTTCAGGGGGTCTTTGGATTTAATGGGATCGTAGTCAAGTATCACTTCAACTTATTTGCTCTAATGATTATGATAAATGAAAATGAATCTAACAAAAGTTGGTGGTGCACCTTTGTGTATGCCCCTCCAAATAAAACAGAACAAACGACCATATTTAATTGGATTAGAGACATTGCTGACAACATCAATGGCCCTTGGTTTCTCTTAGGGGATTTCAACAATTATCTATCAATTGAATATAAAAGAGGGGGTTGGGACCCTCGGCCTAGCCAAATGAGAAATTTTGACAAATTTATTAATGATTGTCACCTAATGGAGATTGAAATGAAGGGTTTACAGTTTACATGTAAGAATAAAAATATTATGGAAAGGATTGATTGGGTTTTTGGTAATGAGGATTGGAGGCTCCAATTCCCAAATGCTATTATTTCCAACCTTCCATTTATGGTATCAGACCATTCCCCGCTCTTGCTCCGAACAGATATTCAAAGTTATAGGGGACCGAAACCCTTTGGATTTGAATCAATGTGGTGCAACGATCCTAGTATTATGGATGTTATTAATAAGGGATGGAGTATAGAAGCAAATGGTTCCAAAGCCATCCAATTCATCAAAAAAATAAATAACCTTGTTAAAAACCTAAGGGAGTGGAGCAAGAAAAAATATGGTGATGTTTTTAAAGAGAAAAATCTCCTACTAGAAAGATTAAAGATTGTGAAGAAGGATATCAGTGAGGATTTGAATAACCCTAGCCTCATTAATCTTGAAAATTCTCTCCAAAAACAATTGAATAACATTATGGAACGCGAAGAAATTTACTGGGCGCAACGTGCTAGGATTGACTGGATTAAACTAGGGGACAAAAACAATAGATTCTTTCACACTATGATGACCATTAGAAAAAACAAAAACAAAATAATAAAAATTAAAAACGAGTGAGTGTGGATAAACGATCAAGAAAATATCGAAAGGAATTTAGTGGAGAATTTTAAACGAAGATTTAAGTCTGTAGGAATCAGTGGTGCAAATGAATTTTTAAATGCCTTAAATAATTGCACCACGGAGGATCAAAATAATTTGATTATTAAGAATGTCTCAAATGAGGAAATTCGTGATGCACTTGATTCTATGGGAGATCTTAAGGCTTCAGGTCCAAATGGGCTAAATGCATTATTTTTTAAGAAATACTAGAATACAATTGGAGAATCAGTATGTGGTGTTATTAAAGCTTTCTTCCATATAGGAAAAGTGTGTAGAATTTTAAACCAAACCTTCTTTACTTTGATCAGAAAGAAAAAGAACCTAAGTAATGCGAATGATTATAGGCCAATCAGCCTATGTAATGTCATTTACAAAATTATTACGAAGATCTTGGTCAATAGAATTAAACCATTTATTGACAAAAATATCTTATCATTTCAAAGTGTTTTTATTCCCAATAGGCAAATTAATGACAATGTACTTATTGTTCATGAGATGATTCATTCTATGAGAAAAAATAATGGTGAATCAGGAATTATGGCTTGCAAGATTGGTATGGAGAAAGCCCATGACAAATTTGAATGGAATTACATTGAAAAGGGTCTTCAAAAGTATGGTTTCCACGAAAAGTGGATCGTGTGGGTTATGGAACGCATCAAATCGGTTTCTTATGGAATTTTAATTAATGGGACTCCTTTGACTGAATTCATTTCAAGTATGGGTATTTGGCAAGGGGACCTCTATCTCCTTGCATTTTTGTGCTCTGTGCAGAGGCTTTTGCAAAGAATCTAAAAAAAGAAGCAGATTCTGGTACCGAAGATATTGGGTGCAGAACCTCTAGAGGGGGTCCAAAGATCCCTATTATGCAATTTGCTAATGATTGTATTATTTTTGCAAAAACTTTAGTCCTTGCATGCATAATGACTAAGGAAATTCTTTCAATTTATGAAAAAGCATCGGGACAAACCCCAAACTTCAACAAATCTTAAGTTTTTTTTTCAAGGAATATTCACCCAAAACTTCAAAAAATGATTTCAATGATGCTTAGAATTCCTAAGGAATTGGAGCCAAAGAATTATCTTGGTGGTCCTTTAATCAACAAAAGAGTTACAAAAAACACTTTTGCCTTTGTCAAGGAGAAAATGATCCAAGAACTCACAAATTGGAGAAAAAAAAACTATCTTTCTTTGGCGGGAAGACTTACATTGATTAACTCCACCACAAACATGATGCCCTAATATATCATGAGGTCTTTTAAAATTCCAAATAATGCTCTAGGGGAGTTGGAAAGAGATCGGAGAGAATTTTTATGGAAAAATAATGAAGGGAAGAAACCCTTGCATTTAATGAAATGGAGCTGCATTTGTACTCCCAAAAGATGGGAAGGCTTAGGAGTTAGAAATCTCCAATGGGTAAATGAAGCAGACCTTGCAAAGTTAGGATGAAAATTTTAAAATGAAGAAAATAATCTCTGGGTTAACTCATTAAAAGCAAATATATGAAAGGTGTTTCTTTGTGGGACATTAAACCTAAAAATGGATGTTCTTAGGCATGGAAAGGCATTCTCCACTCCAGAGATCTATTGAAAAAACAGTATTGGGTACCAAGTTGGTAATGGTCGAACAATTAGTTTTTGGCACAACAAATGGGTTATCAATAAACCTTTATTAGAAATAATCTCTATTGAAAATGAGGAAAATGAAAATATTATGGTATCAGATTTGATCAACTTAGAGGGTGAGTGTTGGGATGAACCCAAAGTTCGTGCAATTGTCCCTAATGATGTTTGGGAAAAAATCAAATCCATTTTTATTTCTCCTAGATGGCTTGAAGATAAAACTATCTGGGATGGAAACTCTTCAGGAGTTTTTTCTATCAAGTCAGCCTATTTGTTGAAATGCTATTCTTTTTGGAATTTTCATTGGACATTTTTTACCCCAATGTCTAAGCATACAGTGGGTATATATGTCTTATACTCTCACTTCAGGATTTGTCCACTTATAACCATTTAGAAACTGCTCACTTATAACTATTCAGAAACCAGGGTGTTGGAACGGGATATGGTAAATTGAATAGTTTTGTCTTGAAGAATTCTATCCATGAACTTCCAAAATACCTTAATTAATTTTTGGATAAATTGAATCATAAAAAAGTGAACATAAATTATAAATAGTTTTGTCTTAGAGGTACTGCCACGTGCAAATGCATGTACATGTTTCAATGATCTGTTTTAGTTTTTTGTTTCAACTTCTATTATGTTAAACAAAGACGAATAAAGGGTGGAGAAAGGAGATTGAATAAAAAGGGAAAAAAAAAGAAAGAACGATGAAAGAGGAGTATAAGAAGATAATGGGAGAGAATAGTATTCATTAGTAATCAATCAATTAGTATTCATTCAAGCTCAAGTGGAAAGTTACCATAAAAAAGTCCATGTGAATGTTTATAGGATGAATTACAAAAACCACCTTGCATTTAAGCGGTAGTGATACTTAGCTTCCCAAAGTGTTTTCCAACAAAGACCCTCCTAAATTTATATATTCCAACACTTTGCCCTCATAATTAGCATTCTCTCAAACATCAGAAGTATTCCCTTTAAAGTTCAACTTGCACTTTACCTCCTTTTTTTTTTATTCAATAAAGTTCAACTTGAGAATAACTCGAGAATTATCAGTTCATGAATGCCTTAAGAATGATTTATGCTTTAAAATATTTGTTGTTAACTTTTGTTTTTTTTTTTTTTGTTGTTGTCAACCCTAGTAGCATTTCAGGGGGCAAAGAGCTGGAAACAAAAAATGCAATGCTGCGTTTGGTTGCAGTGCAATTTTATTTGCATTAGTATAAATGCATGAGAGTGTAACTAAAAAAATGCAATTTTCATTTAATTTTGTTTGAGGTTTTACTTTATTTTACTTCATGTCTTAATCAACTTTACTTGTATTGCAATCAAACAAAATAAGCTAAAGTTTGAAATAAAAATAAGTCAGAATTTACACTAAAATCATTTGCACTGCTATGATAACCAAACACAACATCACAAGATTTGATAATATGTTTAGCTTCCAGTCTGGGATTACTTTTTATTATGTATTATTTAAATTTTCTTTACATTAGTACTGACTAGTTCATTTATTCATTTACAGGATTCTTGTAAATTTTTTCTATGTATTGATTAGTCATTTTTTTCTTATTCTTATAGTATGTGTATTATTTATTTGTAGTTTTAAATGGATGAACCTTTGTATTTGGGATTTAAAACTTCTAATAATGGATTCAGATGAAGACAGCAGCTATGTTTGTGTTGCAATCTCTTAGATTTTCCCAGTATTTCATAGAAATGGTGGATCCATGTGGTGTGTTTTAATTGTGTGTGTACGATAAAGATCCAAGTGCATGCATGGTTTTCAAAAACTGGACCAGAACGGATGGTTAGATCGAAAAAATTGGGAACTGGTTAGGTGATCATTTTCGTTTTACCCCATAACCATTATTTCACAAAAAACCATTGATTTGGTCAGTAAACCGCTGACACAGATGGTCAAACCATTTGAACCGTCCAACAGTTTTAGTTTTTTTTTTTGTCAGAATGGACCGTCCGTTCAGTTTGAACAGTCAGATCGTTCAACCCGATAACCAGATCCCTGATCGGTTCGTTGTCCGGTTAGGTTTTAAAAACCTTGAGTGCATGTTTATGTATTGGTGTTGACCTCAATTGGACCAAGGTAAGGTAATAAATTGTCAAGTTCTAATATCCAGAGTTCAAAATGTATTCATTAATATTGGCTTCAATTTGAATTTAGATTTCAACCGATCATATTATAATTTATCTTCTTTTCATTGATTCATGTTTAATAGGATGTATTTATCAATCATGTTTAACCAATCATGTATTTTACTTCTACCTCTGATGCACCATAAATCTTGCTCATTATTTATGATTGTTTTTAACTTGCTGAAATTTCATTTGAAGTTTGATAATTATAATCATCTCCCCTGAATTTTATGGCAGTTGCAAGTACACCCCCTTTGTTAGAATTTGCTAACAAGAGACATGAAAGTGTCCAAAATACCTATGCAAATTATTATCGAGACTGGTTTCTACAGAAAAATAATACAAACCTTATAAACAATAAACAAAGAGAGAATTTAAAAATGCAACTTTACACTTGAGCAATTAATATGAAGGGAAATTTGAAAGATAAATCAATTCCAGAAAAAGACATTGGAAGGGTTTGAGCTAGTGATTTATATGAAGAGAAAATATAAAAAATAAACATTTTGGTCAAAAATACCTAAATGGGTATTTTGAACATTTTTATGTCTCTTCTTATAGGATTATAACAAAAAGGTCTACTTACAACTATGTTATAAAGTTTTGGGGAGATAATTATAATTATCAAAGTTAGAGGAAAATTTCAGCAACAACCATAAACTTTAACGGAGTTTAAGCAATTTAAGTGAAATTGGGGGATTGGGTTCAAGTGGGGCAAAAGAGGATCCCAAGGGTTTCGTTTGGCACTTTTTTTAGAAGACAATGTAACATTTTGCATAGATATTAGCAGCTTGAAGACCATATGATTAAGATGGGCCTTTCCACATAGACAAATTGATAAAAGACAAAAAGCTAGGTTTTTCACATTTTCATATAAATGCAACTTTCAACTATTAGATTTTTTTTCCAACCAAAGGGTTAAAGCCAAAACACAAACTGCCAGACTTTTAAAAAATCGAAAGCCCGCACAAAAAGACACGCCAAACGGGCCTCGAGCATTTATTTCATAATTCATCGTAGAAGTACGACTTAAATAACCAAAATACCCCGGATAGCAAAATCAAGTGACAATAAAACATGTTGTCGAGTGTCGACAATTCGACATTGACATCGGATATTCTTTCTCTCTTTACCCACTTTTCTGAGTTTCTCCTTCAATAAAGTTTGATCGTGGAGACACAGAAAATAAGTGTGATTTGGTTAGAAAAATTCATGACCAAAGTTTCCCCGTTTCATAAACTTTTACTTTCATAGGGGGAAGAAAAGGAGAGAGACAATCTTAACGGCCACCAACCCAAATCACAGTCGGAATTCTTCTTCATGAAAAAACTGATAAACCACAAAGTGAGAAACGATGAGGTAAGAAAAGGGGAAGAGAGATTATAGAAACTGAAGCTGGAGCTCGAGTTCGTACAGTTCGTTTAAGAGGTAAGTGGGTTCCTTCTAATTTTCAGAGTTTAGTGAGGAGGTGCTTGTTAGTTCTTGATTTCCACTCGAATAAAAGTGGGTGTTAGTAGCAGTGGGATGCAGAGGTTCCTTCGTCTCCTAAATTGGCTAGTCTGGAAATCTGAGTACTGATAGCGGGAAGCATAGGGAGGTTTTTGATTGGACTCTTGCAACAGATTTTACAGGGAGAAATCTTAAGTTGCAGATTGTTTTGACTCATTCGAAACAGTGATGAATTATACCGAGGGCTTTTAACCTTTAAGTTGTTCTTTGTTCATTTGATTGACAGTGTCTAAGAATAGTCATTTACAGTGCGTTTAGCCACGCATGGTTGTGTGGTGTGCTTGTATACACTAAGAATGGAGGAGTTATGCTGAATGCTGGTATTGAGGAGGGGCTTAGGGATGAATTCTACGATGGATGACATGAACTTGCTTCAGCAGGCACAGAGACATCACTTGGTGGTTAGGGAAATAGGGGAGGAGATTGATCTGGAGATTGGTCCTGGAGATGACGACCCTTCATTTTCTAACGCGCCTCTCATAGGTGTTCCACCGCGAGAACTCTCTATTGAAGAGCAGGAAGAGCATAAGCAGCTCCTCATGGCTGCGCAGAACCAGAATGAAGAGCAAGAGGCTCCAAAGACGCAACCAGTGAAAAGGAAGAAAAAGGTGGTGAAGAGATGGAGGGAGGAGTGGGCGGATACATACAAGTGGGCTTATGTTGATGTCAAAGAGGGTACTGCGAGAATATTTTGTTCCGTTTGCAGGGAATACGGGAGGAAGCACAGGAGGAATCCATATGGGAATGAAGGCAGTCGAAATATGCAGATGAGTGCACTGGAAGAGCATAACAACAGTTTACTTCATAAGGAGGCACTCCGGCTCCAGATGGCCTCCAAGGATAAAATTTTAACCATTGCTGACAAACCCATATATGTAAAAGGTCAGTTAACTTGTTCCCCCATCTTTTATTTTTGGTCTTTTTTTTTTTCTTGAAAAATTTAACGAACACCAACTTCGTAAAAGGTCTCTCACTTTCCTTTGATTTAATCATACTATTTTCTATCCTCCTATCTATCTTATGTTATTACCTTATCACTGCTTGAAATGATTGTCTATGCTACTCATTATCTCCAGAATATAACTCAACCTTGATACACAACTTATTAAGGAACTAAATATAGTCTAAGAATTAATTCACGAAAAAAAAGCCTAAGATTTAGCCACAGCAACCATAATACCTTAGTTATTGCTTCAAGCTTGAACGCTCTAGTCATTTCCATCAACTGAGTCTCATCGCAATTTGCAATTACTTAGGAATTAGGATTACTTAAACTCTAAGGGAATGGCTTTTGTTAAGTCAGGGTTCTTTTAGTCATATAGGTTGGCTGTAATATTTATATGCATTGTATGAGTCACTGACTATAGATAGGGACCTACATCTGAACCTTGATATAGAATTGACTCGAAGCTGGAAGCATGATACTGGACTTGTGAAGCATACAACCTGAGGTTGAATATGAACCCAAATTGAGGATCACAGTCATATCATTCAAAACATAAAAGGGTAATTTTTTGGTCACTGAATGATGAAGCATCAACCGCTTTTATAAATACCTGCATAGGTTTACAAAGGCTCATAGTGGAACGAGTCTGTTTCTTAATTTCTTGACATATTCCTTTTTCTTTCTCTTCCCATAATTCCATTACCGGAAAAAAAAGAACACCCAATCTTGGTCCTAGCTATCTGAGGTCTTGGGAGGGGTAAATAAATAATCTACCAAAGCTCTTCTTTTGAAGGAGGCCACAAGTATTTATTCTTTGCAAACAAGCTTCCTAAACAAAGAAGAAAACTCTTGAGGGGATGTGGCTGCACCATACCTTTTTGGACGGGAAGGAGAAGTTCTGCTCATCTGCAATCAAAGCCTTGATTGCATGTAGACCTCTTTGAGAATTGTAGAAAATCAGCTATGTCATTGATCTCCAAATCTCTTAGGGTTCTTCTTAGGCTTAAGTTCAGGTTATTCTTGGAAGGGGAAGCGGGGAGGCAATAAGAAATGGTTGCTTCTTGGTCTAGGGAAGGAGATGGCAAGAGTTGAATTGCCCCACCAAAGGTCAGTCCAAAGTTTGATCTTGTTACCATTGCCCATTTAAATCTAATGAAAGGGGAAGAAAACTACGGTAAGTGGAGACAATACCTTTCCAAGGATTGGTCGATTTTACACAATTCAAATGGAGATTGCTATCCCAACTATTTATACTTGACCCATATTTACTAGTGATGACAGCAGCCCAAAGCTCATTGGATTCATTAGGAAATCTCCACAACCATTTCCCAAGAAGCGAGACATTTTTTTTGTTCTTTTAACTACCCAATCCCCAATCCACCGGCTTCCTTAGACTTACACACTTGTTCCCATCTCACTAGGTGGCTTCTTTTCTCCACTCCACTATCCCAAAGGAAGTCTCTTTGTAGCTTCTCAATCTGAATCCTGATTTTGGAAAACTGAAAGGTAATAAATGGGCAAATTTGCAAGGGAAGCCTTTAAGAGAGTGAGTTTCCCCCCTTTTGAGAGAGAACTCCACTTTCAAGTGGCATGTTTCTTCTCACATTTCTCCACCACCGGTCTCTAGAAACTTTGACTTTTTGGGTTCCTGCCAAGTGGCATTCCCAAATAGGAGATAGGGAAGTTCTCCACTTCGCAACCCAAGACCACCTTAAAGTTCTCCAGAAGGTCTTCTTCAATTGAGTTTATAGCTACAACACTAGTCTTGGAGAAGTTCACCTATTCCCCAAACAAGTCCATGTTGGGGAAATGCTCCACCTATTCCGAGCAAACTAGGAATCTGTCCAGTCTACAACTTGTCACATTTTCTTGCATATTTGACCAGGTGAACTGACCATTATGGAGGGGAAGATCGCACAAATTATGTCTAGCTATGAATCTAGAGAAGTTCCTCATGCTTCTAGTCAAAGCTCTTCTGTTGGAGTGCTCCTGACTGTACCTTGCGACATTAGAGTCACCCCCTATATACCAAGGAACATCTTCTTGCTCATGTAAGGAGTCCAATTCATCCCAGAATCTTCCTCTTTCTGAAGGTGAGTTTGGACCATTTATACCAGTCAGAATCCAGTTGAACCTGTCACTTTTGTTGGTAAACAAGACAGGAATTGAGTACTCTCCTTTATCAACTTCCATGCTGGACACCTTCTCTTCATTCCAAACTAAGATAATTCCTCCCAAAGTGCCAGGTGCCGGAAGAGCAGTCCATTTTTCCTCTTACTCCCCAAATTTCTTTCAACGGTATTCTACCTACTTTTTTTTTTGTTTCTTGTAAAATGACGATATCAGGATTTTCTCTTCTTAAGGTATCTTTCACAAGGAACCTCTTTATCCGGCCTCCCAAACCCCTAGTGTTCCAACTTAGGATCTTCATTGAGCCACATTCTCTGCTTTTCCCTCATCTGTCCTACTACTAGCTGATTTTGATCCATCATACCCCATTGAAATCTTTGTAATTCCCTTTCTGAACTCCTTTTCTCATTTCTCCCCTGAGCTTTCCCCTTTCTATCACAATCTCACTTTTGGGTCCCTGCCTGTTAACATTTTCCTTTTCACTGTTAATCCCCGAGCTTCTAGCCATCTCAATGGTTTTGCCTTCCATCTCCTCCTCCCTACTAATACTGGCCAAGTCTTGGGTTCTGACCCTCATCCACATCATTTGTTCCGTGGAAAAGGCAACTAGTCTTAAGTATTATGGGTGTCTCACATAAGAACTCAAGTCTTCCTTGGATTCAACTTTGTCGTTTCCAGAGTGAGGTAGAACTTGAGGGCTCATCTTTAAAAGGGGTCTCAGGTGGGCTCAAACTTTGTGGGTCAACCTCTAGGCCCGCCACATGGGCTTGGTAAAGTGCCGGTCCAGGTCAGGAACCTGAGTGGGTCTTGGGTTAGGTCTAGAGCCTTCAAAGGGTTGGTCTTTTTGTGGGGCCCTCCTTGGAACTAGGACCAGCCTTTAAACAATCTTTATGAATTTTGAAATGTAATCCTAAAATCAGCTTGCCTTCCTTTTCCTTTCAGTCCCTTTTTTTAGGAGTAAGGCTTTTGGGAAACATTCTTACCTTACAAGGGGAGTACCTACCAACTCCTTAGCTTCAGTCTTATGGAAGCTTCCCAAAATGTTTCTTGGCCGAGTAGCGTCCTTCCATGCCACCACATGTCTGGTGCCACTGCAGCAAGTTGACTCAGCGGGCTGGGTAGCAAAGTAGTTTGTCTTCACCTCCATTGAAAGGTAACACCTTGATTATGGCGAAATGCAGCTCAGAAAACTTCTTCGTTCCAGGATCTACTTCTGCAAGACCTCCACAAAGACTTCCTAACAAAGCAAAAGCTTCTTCCAGCCAAAGGTGAAAAGATGACCTGCAACTTTTCAACCAACCATGAAAACTCAAGAATTCTGGGACTGAGTTGACCATTGGCCACCAACGATCCAGCTGAACCCACTCTCCATATAAAGAAACTTATTATTTTTTTTTTTTTTGAGAAAGGTAAAGTATAGCATATTTTTTTGATAACAAAATCATTGTCCTTTGTACAATGAGAAACTGTGCATGAGTCATGACAACCAACTAGGGACCCCCCAAAAAAATCCACCCTCAAAAAAGAAGAAGAAAAGGTATTATTTCTAAATACATTATGGACAGACAAACAGCTCTTTAAGAACCCTACTGCTGCATTAATCACCACTGCTTCTGAAGCCAGCTTCTGCTAAAAAGTTCTGCAGTTTCTTTCCAACCAGATGGCCCACAAAATTGCATCCGGGATAGAGGACCAACAGACCTTCCCTTTTCTAGACATAACATATCCTGGACCTGCAGCCTTTTAACAGATCCTTCACTGACCCAGGGATGCACCAATTCAAGTTTTGTTTTTTTTTATCAAATACCAATTCATCAATTCAAGTTTATAGCATCGAGAAAATAGTTTCATATTGAAGCACTGAAACTGCAGTGCAGAAAGAAGTGACTTGACGTCTCCACCTCACAGTTACAGAAGAAAACACAAAGCAGGCCAGGGGCATTAAAACCCTTCTTCACCAACATGGTCTTTGTCAAACATTTATCCAAAATAGCCACCCAAAGGAAGAACTTTACTTCGGAGGGAGCTGCTATTCTCCATATGGATTTTCTAGGGAAAGGATCTCTTGCCTCTCCTACAAGACCCGAATAGGACTTGACAGAGAACTCCAGAACTTGTCCATTTCCAACATCTTGTATCTTGAACTTGCAAGTTTAGCTGTTGACTTTGAAGGACTTCAAAAAGATGGGCCACCAGATCCAGTTCCCAACCATTGAATCCATATAAAGAAACTTTCTCCTGCTTGACCCAAGAAAGCACCTACTCCTCTGAAGGAGCAAAGCCCACCACCTTATTTGACTCGAAAGGGAAGAGTTTTAGTAACCCTTGGGAGTGAAAATTGGCAGACAGACGTAGTTAAACATCTCTCCAGGTCAGAGTTTCTGGTTTAGTACAGACAAAGCAAGCTTCCACCTTCTGAAAAGGTTTGTCCTGATGGACAACCAAAATGTAGGCTGATCCTCCTGCCTTTATAACTTTGCTCTTCTTTCTAGCTGAGAGAAGAGTTCCAGTAATGGACCTGCGAAATAGGGTTTGTCTTTGGAAGGATAGAACAGGCTCAATAGGTAGTCGAAATTCCTCCAGCTGTTTCTGGTTAGTTCTTTGGGAGTGCAAAAGCTTCTCCAATTTGCAGATCTCTCTACTTATCAAAAAAAAAATGCATATCTCTCCCAGATGATCAACCGAATGAATATGCCCCATCTATTTTCTTTCAACTGTATGTGCAGCACTCTTCCTTTCTCCGCACACTTTTGGTCCTCAAGAACCTGTCTCTGATTCTTTAACGCCTCCTGTAGAAAATCCCTTGTCCATTTCACTTCCTCCTTCAAGAAAATCCTTGTCCAAGCTCCTCTTCCTGTTTCTGTCACCACAATCACTTCTTGTTTTTCCAACCTAAATTCCAACTTGAAAGTCTTTTAGCCAATTACTTCTACTTGTCTTTCCATCCCCTTGATGTTCCAGCTCATGCTTCAAGGACTGTGCCTCATCACATGCTTCAAGAATCAAAGGTACCTCTTCCAACACTAGTACATTGCTGTCTACAATGTAATCTTTAAGATCTTCACAGGTTTACACGTCCCCCCAGCCCTGGTACACCCACAATTTCTACAGATTCAGCCATGCTATTTGCATTATTGCATATCTTGGAGCCCACCTAAACAAACAGTTCAGGCTAGTATATACAGTGTCCTCTTGCTTCTCCAACCAAGAATCTAAGAGTCTAAGGAACTTTCTTATTTTTTGGACCTATTTCTACCTAAAGAATTGTATTGCTTTCTATGTAAGAACGGGAACCTTGCATTCCAAAGCTAGACAGCAAAGATAAACAAAGCAGCCCAGAGCTGACAATACATATGATTAGTTTTTTTACACAGACAGATTACAAATCAATTCCAGGTCCTGGCATACCCCATAGAAAGCCATGCCTTGTATCCCTGTTTTTGCTAGACTGTCAGTCAGAACATCGGCCAACCTGGGAATTGACCTGGATGAGCAATTCAGGTTTCTTCCAATAGCATTAGCTTCTCTAATAGAAATCTGGAATAACCGAGGAGGCTCCTCATCTGAACACAACCACAACATAATTAATTGGCAGTCCCCTTCTAGCTTTTGCTGGAATTTTTAAGACAATATTACTTCTGAAATCAATTCCTATCTAAATATATTTTCTCCATATGAAAAGGACAGCCCAGTGCACGAGGCTCCTGCCAATGCAGGGTCTGGGGAGGGACATATGCTCTGTTTTGGTTTTGACACAAAGTACTTCTGCAAAAGTTGATGGACTTGATACTGTAATTTTCTTTGCTTCAGTTTGAGCCTATGAGAAGCACTAAAATTCCTTTCTTGTTATTGTTAAGAAATAAATTAAAAGCTGGTTCCTGAGTTTTGGGCTACATGAACCTGTTTATTTCTACTTGCTATCATTGGAACATAGCTTAGATGATGATGACGACCTGCAGGATGGACTTGACATAATTATATGGTAATCTCACATTTGAGTTTATAGTGATGGAACCAACAAAGGATAAAAGAATATGTAACTTGTTAGTTGCTGTAAGAACCATTCATCTTATAGAAATGATATTGCTTGGGTCTATCGGTTAATGTAGTTTGAGTTCTGAAATTCTTTCTGGAGTTCCTTAGTTCTTTTTTTTTTTAATTGTTACCAGTCAAATTTTATTAATCATGACAGAAAGAATAGTTTACACAGCAACCCTCTTTTCTTCTTTTTCTAGGCTAGCTTTTGCTACCTAATCCCTTTCCTTACAAAATACAGGCACTCATTAGGAGGCTAACCCCCCCCCCCCCCCCAATTACTGTTCCCTTTTCCTCAGCTCTATTCTTATTTGGCTGCTACCCTGTTGACTGGTATCTTAAATTTGTTTGATCTTTTTAATGTTTTCCCTTTGAACACTGGATGTAAGATCTGGTATAAAGGATTTTCTTGCGAATCCTGATGTTTATGTCCAAAATGTTGCACTCTTTAGTGACATGATTACTATAGAGATTTTCTCTACTAAATTTCCTTTTATTGGGTTTGGTGGGACGTGTTTCTCAAAATGAAGCTCTTATGTCAAAAACTGCTGGATCAATTGTTGAAGCTGTGTTAAGAAGGGATCCTCATGAGGTTGAGTTTATACAGTCAGTGCAAGAAGCAGTTCATTCTTTAGAACGAGTAATTGCAAAGAATACTCAGTGAGTTACCTTGAAATAAAGAATGATCTGTGATTAGGACTTTGAAGTCTGAAGTTTAAAACTACAAATCTCATGGAGTGGTTTTGCTATTTTCAGTTATATCCATATTCTTGAGCGATTGTTAGAACCCGAGCGTATGATTGTCTTCCGAGTGCCATGGATTGATGACAGGGGAGAGACACATGTAAATAGAGGATTCCGAGTACAATTCAGCCAAGTGTTGGGTCCTTGTAGAGGTGGTCTGCGTTACCATCCATCCATGAACTTAAGTACCGCAAAGTTTCTTGGGTTTGAACAGGTATTGTTTGCATATCTTAATCCTACATTTTATGTAGTTTGGATGTTTGAACTCTGCCTTACCGGTTTCTATTTTTTGACATATTTTTTCTCCTTACATGTTGATGACATTGGATTGGCATGTTACATATAGGTAGAGGAGCTCTCTATGTCATCTTAAGTTTTAATCATTCTAGAAGTAGTTATTGAAAGGCATGGTTTAGTCTGGTTTTTGGTTGATCATAAAAACCAGCATATTCTATTCCTTTCTTTTCTTTAATTCAAGTTCCTTGCCTTTTTTTCTCTGATGAATAGTTAGAACCCATTTCCTTTCTCTATGTGTGTCTCTCTTTTTACACACACACAAGCAAAAACTTTTTCCTCCTTTTCTGAACAAATGAGTTTTTTCAAAGAAATAAAAAATGAAAGAAAATACGAATTACTTTATGACAAGAATCCGATTGTAAAGAAAAAATTTATATGAGGGCTTATAAAATGATGACTAGCAGTAGTGTTTTGTTTTTTTGGAAAGAGAAACTGGAACATCATGGTTTGAATTCTTGTCAGTTGCAATATCTTTACTGCAAATAATAATGACCAAATAATGTAAAGGTTGGGAAACCATTGAAATCAAGACTTTCTCTTTCTTGACAATCAAACCCATTTAAAAGTAGACTTTCTTGAAAAATTCTCCATGCCTTATTCATTTTTTGTAGACCTAAACACATCTGCATTATCCTTATGATATGCATGTTTGTGCTTGTCATGGTTATCTTCTGGTTTTACTGATAAAAAAGAAAAGAATCTTTTCTAGTTGTTTTCTTGATTGAATCTTGTATGTAAGAACTGGATTAACTAATTCTTTCTAGATGCATGCATCAATCTATTTGGTATTACTACTTCTCCACAGACTTTAAAGAATGCTTTGTCGCCATACAAGCTTGGTGGAGCTGGAGGAGGTAGTGATTTTGATCCAAAGGGAAAAAGTGAAAATGAGGTATTGCCCTTTCTTGTATGTGTTGCATTAAGAGCCACTTCATTTTGCAGTGAGTTGTTATTAAGGGTGAACCTTTCTGGAGGTTCTCTAAATGGTTCTCCTGAACATGTGTCAAAACCCATTTTGCAGATTATGCGGTTTTGCCAAAGTTATATGGATGAATTATATCGATATTTAGGTCCAGATAAGGTAGCAAGATAAATATTTCCATTGCTTAATTTGTTTTATGACTTCACATGGCTTAAAATAGCAAATGCATTGGACATCTGAGTCTGCTATTTTGTTTATTGATTATGTGCAATACAGGATCTTCCTTCAGAAGACATGGGGGTTGGTCCTCGGGAGATGGGTTACCTCTTTGGACAATATAGACGTCTAGCTGGTCATTTTCAGGTATTCAGAACACTTAAAAAGTGTGAATTCTGAAGCAAACAGTATTGTTTTCAGGAGATAAGCATAATTCCTCTTCGTTTTACAAAGATATAGTGTAAGCCCTTGTTTTTTTAGATATATGATCCTAAATTCCTACAAATCACCACTTTAAATATTTTCTATTACTTATTTTATAATTATTGTGAATATTGTCCATGGGAAAATTTTGGGTTCATGTCTTTGGGATTTTATATGTATGCTTTACTCATGCAGGGAAGTTTTACAGGGCCGAGGATGTTCTGGTCTGGTTCTAGTCTTAGAACTGAAGCTACTGGCTATGGACTGGTAAAATTTTTGTCCATTTGTTCATTTTCTACTGATTTTTGTATGAGAAAATGGTAGAGCTTTCAGAACTATTTGTTAGTTTTTCATCTCACAGAACTCTTGGGGTACTGTGCAGGTTTTCTTTGCACAGATTATGCTTGCAGAAATGAATAAAGAGCTAAAAGGATTAAGGTTTCCAGCTTGACTTTGGATCTTTATATTAAGAAGGATTGCAGTATATTTGAAGTCTATACTGTGTTGCAGCATATCTTTTATTTCCTGTAGAGAATTGATTAGTTATTGACATGATTTTTTGGTATGTTAGATAACTATAAGGGAATACGTCTATTTTTTGTTGTATAGCTCCAAGGAAATAACTTCTTGCCTAAGATTGAAGTATTATGGAAGGCAATTGTCATCTTCTTTTCTCCTAGAAAAATTTAAAGTTTCTTTCTTCACATTGAATCATTTTAGCTAAAGAACTGAAGGGGATTGATTCTGGAAATTTGCTTAGAGAATAGAGAATAATAGCAAAATCTCATGTGATGATTGTTTTCATGATCTTGATCCCCCTCCCCCCTCCTTACCATGGGAGAAACCATAAAGCTCATCATTGATTACTGTTCATTGGGAACCAGCCCAGTATAGAAGGTGCCTGTGAAGATTAAAAGGGCATCTCTTACTTGTTTATTCGAGACCAGCAGACACTGGAAGCTTCAGTATATTGAAGTCCTTGCAACTTGCAAGGGCTTGAGCTTTCTCCAGTTTGTTTTTCTTGAAAATTGTGATTGGAAGGGGTTGTAATATGTTCTGTTTGACCTTCATTCTACAAGGGGCCCAAAAGGTTATGCAGCATTCTAGAAAAATTCTTGCCTTGACTTGTCCTTTCAACACCCCATTCTATGCTATCCTGAGGTTAGGCAATCTTCTAGATGATGGAGATTTGGGTGACTGCTCCTGATATTTGTCCTTTTGATTTCTCAATTATAAACAATTTCTCATTGTTGGCAAAAAGAAAAAGAAAGAAAAATATGTTTATATGCAATTGACCACTGTTCTCTGAAAAGAATTGACCACTGTCTAAATATTTGATTGTATTATGAAAGTTTCAAATTTCAGTTCACCATCATCCAATGCGGTTTCTACCATTCTTTATTCTTCATGTTCTTTAAATATGGGAGGCTCCTGTGCTGATGTGCTTAATTTCATCTCCAGATGCGTAGTGAGTGGCTGTGGAAAGATTGCAATACATGTCATAGACAAACTTCTTGCTTATGGTGCTGTGCCCATCACAGTATCAGGTAGCCTTCAGTTCCCATCACTTTTAATTCCCCCAAACAGAAGTCTTTCATTTGGGTTTTTTGCTCCATCTTATTAAAGTATAATGTAAGGAACATAACCAGGATGACAACATGTTTATTGGAATACAAGTCAATATTTTATAATCCATGTGAATAACTTTGCCACTTTTGCCCATCCTTCACCACATCTGATTGTTGAAAGAGACTGTTAGAATCCATTCCAGAATAATGTTGATTATTGATAACTATGATCAGGTGGTTGTTATCCATCTGCAGGGGATAACACTATGGAAGTAAGGTGCATTCGGGTTTATCTTATTATGTTTTAATAAGTTACGAGGTCAACTAAGTCCACATGGCCTCTTCTCTTTTCAAAAGGGTGTAAAGTCATGTTTTAAATAAGGAACCAAAGTCAACATTCTTGAATTTCTAAATGTTGACAGTTCAAATCTTGAAACATCTAAAGTCATGGGTTATTTTATAGTCAATCTTCTTGAATTTTTCATTCTTGAAGGTATATGAAATGAACTTATTAGAGTTCTGATCAAAAGACAAAATTGTCATGATCAATCACCTAGTTATTTACCATAGGATTGTAATTATCTTATTTATATTCTTTGGTTTACTTCAAGTGGGCATGGACATGCAATAGCCAATAGGTACAAAGAGAGAGCTTGTGGGTAGGTATAAAGAATCATAGCTAAAGAATGCAGAAGTGTTATTTGAGATCCCCATAAATAATGGGATTCCAAACCTAATATATGCTGTCTACATCTTTAAATACAGCCAATGCATCTAAATCATCTCAATTGCTTTTGTTAACCTCTATTGGGACTCCATTGTATTTGAAGATGCAATACCCCTTTAACATGCCTCATACAGCTACAAATTGTTTAGTCTCTCCACAGAATTTTACCTCCTTTCAAAATGCGTGCATTTTTCAAGAGATCAGTTAGAATTCAGAACATCCAGAGGAGTCCACTATGGCCCAAATAGAGCCAAAAATCTGCACCACAAACTTAGAAGATTGCTTACACTTTCATTACCTTGTCAATGTATGCATACGTTTGTGGTGAACCTTCCCCTATTAGTTAAATAATTCCTCATCAGAATTCTATCCAATATGATCTGCAAGAGTTGGTACAATTGCTAACTTCCACTCTAACTGACCATGTATATATTCCTTTTTTTGTTTATAAATAAATAAAACAAAAGCTGAGATGGTCTACTTAACTGAATGGGATTTGGATAAAACCAGTCAAAACTGGAACCCCTGGTATCCTGGATGGTTTTGCATGAAACCAGTGATTTTAACTAACCTTTCTGGAATTTTGGGATTTTAAATAAAATATTTTTTCAGTAAAAATTAAATTTTTATTAGTTATTGGGATTTTACGTGAAATAATGAAAAAACTAGGGTCTTGGGGGTGGACCACAGGGGAAGGGGTGGACGTATATGGCAGTATGAGGTACATACTGGCTTTTCACATCAGTGAAGGAGAAAGAATGGGGAGAGGGACGGAAAGATTTTGATCAATAACAAAAACGTGCTAAACATTTCAAAATCACCACTTTGGACTCGGTTGCACTTTATTCAATTAATCTGTTATTTGTATCTTTTTTCTTGATTCTACTCTAAGTGTGTTTCTCTTTGTGCTTAGTCTAAGTGGGTCATACCTAGCTGTAAGTAGATGCCTCAAACCCCCCAAAGAAGAACCTCCACAATATATGGTAAATGAATATAATTAAGTAATTTAAAAAAGAAAAGCTTGTATAAGAGTTCTTCAACTTTAAATATCTATAGAAAGTTCAAAACTTAGAATTCCTATTCTATAACTTCCCCCTACATGTCTTGGTGAAACTCATAAATGTATAGGGGTTATTGAATTGAATAGGCTGGGAAATAAGTCAAGAGGATGATTAGCAAATTCACTCATTCACGGAAGCTTACATATATCTAACTTGAGTGGGAATTATATTTTTCATTAACTTTGGATTCTTTTGATGGATGATTGAGGTTGTTTTCCTTGTAAGGGTATTTTTTATTGTCTTTTGATGTAGCCCTTAAGCAAGTGGTATAAATTCCTAAGACCTTCATAATTGATTATCTTTCCTAGCTCTCCCCTCCTTAACCTTCTTTCTTGTTAAAAATGATGAAGATTGGCACTATATCGCTGTAAGTGTTGCATGGATACAGTTATGGGGGTTGAATCTGATATGTGTCCAAGAGCCTGACTTGGCAAGATGAGGAAACATGGACTCATGGACAAATCTATGGAGGAGCGAGCATATACCATAAAAATAGTTCATATTTTTTGAATTCTAATAATATATACCTGTAAAAGGGGCTCTAAAATATTGCTTTTTTACAAAGTAAAATTTACATGAAATATGGCATTTATCTTGTATATTACCTGTTCATTATGTCAAATAAGCTAAAGATACAGAGGAAATGTTACATAGAGGCATCCTCAAGGATCCGTAGAGCGTCTCTAATGCATGTCTGGCATGGACATTTCGTCCATCTAGGAGAGCCCATGCAACACTGTTTTCTGGCAGCTGGTTAATGATTAAATGATGTTAAGCTTGATTGCCCTGTCTTTTGCCTTATGAAAGTATAATCACAGACTTGATGTTATTTAACTTTGAAGCTTCAGATGTATAAAACGATATATGTAGATCAAATGCCAATTAAAATTCATATACTCTGTTTTATTTTCAGATTCCAGAGGTTATTTAGTGGATGAAGATGGATTTGATTATGTGAAGATATCAGTTTTGAGAGACATTAAAGCAAATCAGAAAAGCTTGAGGTTTATGTTTCTTACCATAACATTTCATCTTTTATGTTTCATTCACCTTGCAAATTTTAAATGTTTTAGGCTTTTTGTATTCATAAGCCTTTTCATTTACAGAGATTATTCAAAGACTTATGCTCGGTCTAAATACTATGATGAGGCAAAACCTTGGAATGAAAGGTGTGACATTGCATTTCCTTGTGCTGCGCAAAATGAAATCAACCAATCTGATGCTGTAAAATTGGTTAATTCAGGTTGCCGTATACTAATAGAAGGTAGTGGCTCTTACTACGATGTTTTTTATCTTGTTTCTGTTAGCAGTAATCATCTCATCTCATCTATGGAATTCAGGTTCAAATATGCCTTGTACCCCAGAAGCAATTGATGTGCTGAGGAAAGCTAATGTTCTGGTTGCACCAGCCAAGGCTGCCGGTGCTGGAGGAGTAATATCAACTATTCACTTCTCCAATTTATGCTTGATACATATCTTCTTTGGCAGCTACAAGTCAATGGATTGATAGAATACATTGCCGTTTTCTCTTTCTAATTTCCTTTTATATCATTTTTTTCTTTAATATTAATGTTTAAGGATAAACAAGTAAAGTTCAATTCAGGTTCACCTCAAACAAATAACCATACTGATGTGGTATACTGTTGAATGTGATCAAACCTTCTCCAAAACTTAAAAATGAATTTTAGAGTCCTATTGTATAAAATGTATTAGCCATTTAAAAAAGACAGAAAAGGATTATGTTGGGCATGTCCCAAAGACTTAACTGACAAAACCTTTCTCAGAGAACATTTATAATCATCATTTTCTATGTTGATTTTGTTCTTGACAACTGCACACCTTAGACCTACACTAAGTTTTGTAATCAATTTGGTTACAGGTTGCTGCTGGAGAACTTGAATTAAATCATGAATGTAATTTGATGCACTGGTCTCCTGAGGACTTTGAAAGTAAACTACAGGTAGGGCTCCTGATTTCTTATTAGCTTAATTAACAAATCATTTATTTGGTGCAAATAGCAAGTTGGATATTCATGTGTTATTAGCACTGTTAATTGTTACTCCAACATGCAATCCACATCTGTTAATTGGTAGGAAGTGGACAACTGAGTTGATACATTCCCATTTTCATCTTAAACATCTAGAATTCCTGTGAGACAATGATTCCACAGCTTATGTCTTGGGCATATTCCATTATGGAAAATGAAAATACACTTCAGCAAGTGATTTACATAAGTTTAATTACTTAGCCAAGTTGTTCCGAAAATAAAAGGTAATAATTCTGTTTAAAACAACCATTACCATTGCTCATGATTTTTTATTTCAGGAAACTTACAATTTTTTTGCATGGATTTTGTAGGTATCAGACCAGCTAATTTCATTTGAAAATGCTTATTTATGATTAAAGAACATTAACTGAAGTATTTGAGTCTTTTCTTTGGGTGTTTGATTTCCAAGGAGTATCTTAATAAATGAAAAAAGAATTCTTGCTGTAATGAACCAAGTTCCTTTTATACCATAAGTATTTCTAATCTTACTCAAGTTTGTTAGTTTTAGGCTGTAGTTCTGGTTCCAATATTTTCATTTTTTTATTCCCCCACCACTTTGGTACCCAACTTCATCAATCAAATGGAAAATGAAACCATTAAACTTCTAAGAGGAACATGTAAAATTTATCTATAACTTTCATATGTTGCAAGTTGAAACTATAATTCTTAGTCAGTTAATTTGGGATCAGAAGCTTGACCTCACTGTTGGGGAAACTAAGACACAAGCACCTCATTTTATAAACATATTAAGGACTGACATGTGAGGGAAAAGCAGTATCCTGGTGTTTAATTCATACTTGGGCTTTTGGCATGGTAGGACTATTGACAACATAGTTCCTTGTTGCCACTTTGATTCATTACAAAATTTCCATGGATGAAAATTTCATCCTTTGCTTTTCCTTTTTTCACAGGATGCCATGAAACAGACATACCAGAAAGCCATTAAAGCAGCAATAGACTTTGGGTATCAAAAAGAGAGTCCCGAGTGAGTATTTATACTTGTACCTGTAGAAATAATCTGTGGGGTTATCTATGTGTGTTATATATTATCTTCATACCATGAATGGTTTCAGTATACCTTTGGACATGGAAACTTGTCACTTTGTTCATCAAGGAAATCTACTGGGTCAAGACCAATGTTTGATGATATCCCATTATACAGGCATGATTTTCATGGAACCAGTATACTTGGGTTCTCCAAACCAGGAAAAGAAAAGCTTATTCAGGTGTAAATTGATATTTAACTCAAGTGACTTGGATCCCTAGTTTGTTCTCTCTTAGGTCTTGTTTGCCCACTAATGTGTATTGAGAGGAGCAAGTTAAATAGCTTTCTGCAATCCCGGAAAGAACATAATTATTTTCTTAATAGTAATTCCAAAACAAATCAGCTTCCAGTAATTCATCCTCAAGTTCTATTCCATGTTCTGCCAGTACTGGATTCAGACGTTGACATTAAATGACACCTGACAGATTTATTTTCTTCTTTGCTTTTCCTTCTTATACTCGGCAGGGCTTTGGTACATGGGGCAACTATCTCTGCTTTCCTAGCACTTGCTCAAGGTATGACTGACCAGGGCTGCGTATAGAAGCCAGGGATACTGTCCAGTCAAATATGCATGCTCATTGAGATGTGGATATACATATACTTCACCTACCAGATGATTGAGGAAGGTCAGAACATCATTGACCACTTTGGTGCTTGTGCATCTCAAGAAACATTACACGTATTTTCCAGGGCCAGTGACATGAAAGGTTCGGGATATGCATGTGGAAGCTTTCTTCCTCTTGTAGCTGTGACATGTTTCTAATGTTATATAGGAATCTGGGTTGGGGCTAACTTATGGATGATTAAAACAGAGGGAGATGCAGGAAAAGGTAGTAGTGGCTGAAATAGTTGTGAATGGAAGGAATCTTCAAAATTCGTTGCTGGAAGCATTTGTATACTACTCCCAACCTGAACACTGCAGCCTTGTGAAGAAGCTGAAAATGATTGGAAATAAAATATAATTCTTTGTTAGTGTCCAAGTCACAATGTGCCTCCAGAAACCTGTGTAACATAACGAAGTTTCTCTTCTAATGCAATGTTTTGTTCATGCTTCAAGACCTCTCTCTTCTCATTACTTGATGGACTGCCTGGTTTTCTTTTTTTTTTCATTGGTCGGAAAAGAAAATTCATTAATTCATTAAGGGGAAAGTCAGATACATATTCCATCAACCTGAAGTTCACCCACCAAACAGGGTTAGCACCGCCCGAAAGGGTGTAGTTTGGATTTTGGAACTTTGGATCAACCTAACCCAAAATTTGATTTTCTAAAGAAATTAACCGAAGATTTTTCTATGTTGGAAACCCCTTTCCTGCGGTAAAGCCCACTAAAGCCTATTATCCCCCCCCCCAAAAAAAAAGTACAACCGAACAGCTCAAGACTCTTGTCATTAGTAGACCCAGAAAAGGCTTAAAAAAAAAGTCTACGTGGTCGGTGGGCAATGGCAAAGTATTTGCAATTCAGTTACTCTTGTCAACAATTCAAGTTCAGTTGTGTGCGTATCAGGTGTTTTAAGCATGCCTATTCCTGAAAATGGTCAAAGTCCAAAACACCTCATATTTGGGATTTTGATATGATACGGGGCATATTTTTGTATTAAAACTTTGATCCTTGGTGGTATGATAAAAAAGAAAAGAGATGGCACAAACCCATGGATTACTCTTTCCGACAAAAAAAAGGAAAAAACAATTGGGCATTTAGAAAGTTAGAAACCCAACCCGTCAGATATATGTGTGCTTGTCAATTAATCTAATTGTACAAGTCATTTTATAAGTTTTACGGTATCAAAGCAGAAAATCTCTTCCATGCACATGAAGAAACAAGATCAGTTGAAAATTTCCCCCTTGTGCAAAGGCCTCAGGTGCGTTCAAAAATGATTAGCATGGACCAAATTCAAATGCTTAATTGCGAATTGGGATTTGCTCCGACCTCACAGCCACATCCCACAATGTATTTGGAACATCTCCCATGAGAAATAACATACAAGTATGGAGATATTCCCAATGTACAGTTAAGACATGCTGTGAGATCGGTGTGAAAAGCACTCTGTGAGGAGCAGATCCGGATTCCTTAATTGCCTGCAACTATACAAGAGGTATGATGGCAAAGATCATCATCATCTAAGCCTTGTCCCAACTATACGGTAGGATAAGAAAGATGCTGAACAAAATTTAAACAATGGTTTTGCGTTTTTTTCCTTTTACTTCTGGTTCGAGTGGAAGTTCATGGCTTTCTATTGAGATATACAAGTTACAACAAAACCTGAGTCCATACTGAGGACAATAAGCAATCGAATATTGGAGCACTTGTGTCGGCCATCAACCAGGAAATCAATTAGACTTGCTGAAATATCCCGTCTTACGCCTTAGCATGAGAAGCTACATTATGAGTACGAGCAAGACATTGTCCTCCCCAACTTTTTAGAGGAGGTTGTGCTGAGTGATAAGTGGCACCAAAATTAAGCAATATGGGAGTCATGTAATCTGAGTATTTCGACGCAATGTTTGATTTAATATGTAGTATGCCTTACTGTAATTTTGGAACAGCTAAAATGGAGATGTATACTGGTCATACAAATCTTTTTCCTTGTGTCGGACCAGGTGTATCACCACCCACCACACATCTGCATCCTAGCAAGAACACACAGGTCCACCCATCCTACCAATTTACCAGATATGTGCAATAAGATGCACCCTAAAGCTCAACTCTGTGGAAGTGGAACTTCTAGAAAGCTTGAATCTTTGTTGGAGTGTCAAGAGGAGAATTTTTCCTATTTCCTATTTAGGGATGCCTCTTGGAGGGAATCCAAAATTTCTCAACTTTTGGAGACCAGTGGTGGAGAAATGTGAGAAGAAACTATCATTTTGGAAGAAATGCTATTTCTCAAAAGGGGGAAGGCTTACTCTCTTGAAGGCCTCTTTAGCAAATTTGCCAGTCTACTTCCTTCCAATTCAGTTTTCCAGAGTCTAACCAAAGTTAGAAATCAGATTGAGAAGCTTAAAAGGAACTTTATTTGGGAAGGAGGTGGGGAAAAGAAAAGCCACTTAGTTGGAAGCAAGTACACAAGCCTAAAGAGGATGGTGGTGTGGGAATTGGCCACTCAAAAGAAAAATTCTTCTCTCTTAAGTAAATGGCTATGGAGGTTCCCTAAAAAACCCAGTGCTCTTTGGACAGCTGTCATCTCAAGCAAATATCGATCAAATGTAAATGGGTGGGATAGCAATCTCCACTTGAACAGGATAAGGTCCAAAAATCCTTGGAAAGGTATCATCTCCACCCATACTTCTTTCTTTCCTTTTATAATATATAAAGTGGGAAATGGCTCTAAAATAAAATTCTGGAAAGACCTTTGGTGGGGGGGAACTACCCTTGCAACCTCTTTCCCTAGACTTTTTAACCTTACCCTTGACCAAGAAGCCACTATTTCTTCCTGCCTTCCAGACCAAACTATTGAGAACACCCTAAACCTTTGGCTTAGAAGACCCCCAAGGGATTTGGAGATTTCTGAATTAATCGACTTAATTCAGACCCTTAAAGAAGCCTACATCTCCCCCTCCTATTCTGACACCCGAATTTGGACCCTGCACCCTACTGGCGAATTCTCTTCTAAGTCTATGTTCAAGGTTTTGATTGCTGATGAACAACATTCCTCCTTTCCTTTTAAGATCTGGTGTAGCAGCATCCCTTCAAGAGTTTGTTTCTTTGTTTGGGAAGCTTGTCTCCAGAAATTAAATACCTGTGATCTCTTGCAGAAAAAGCTTTTGGGAAGACTGTCCATCTCTCCTCATGTTTGCATTTTATGCTTCAGTGAAGGTGAATCAGCAGATCATATTTTTCTTCACTGCCAATTCACCCAAAAGATTTGGTTCCATTTCTTGAAAATGGCAGGTTACAACTAGGTTATACCAGAGCACATTATGGACTTTCTGCATCAATGGCAAGGAACAGGTTTAAGTAAAAGGGGTAAAGTTTATTGGCAATCGGTGCTACATGCAGTGTTTGGGATAAAAGAAACAAACACCTCTTTGACAACAAATTCAGGCCCCTAGAGGAGTTAATTTCAGACATTACTTACCTTTGCAACCTCTAGACGGTGAATCCTTGAGACATCTTGACCCCATCAGTGAAAGAGTGATGACCCTAAATTTCGATGGAAGTGCCTTAGGTAACCCTTGCTTAGCTGGTATTGGAGGCACAGTAAGGGATGAAAGGGGCAACATTTGTTGGACTTTCAATGGTCCAATTGGTTTGGCTGGTTTCACAAAGGCTGAAGTGATGGCTGCTCTCACAAGAATCAGAATAATAAAAAATTTGAGAATCCAAAATTTAATCATTGCAAGTGATTCAACAAACACTATAAAATGGTTAAGAGATTGAGTCACTATTTGGCAGAGGCTACGGACTCTTTGGACTATTTAAATGTAAAATTAGTTTGGATTCCTTGGGAACACAATCATACAGCAGATGGCTTGGCCAAATGTAGTGTGTAGTTGGAGCATTTGTATAGTGACAAGCTTCTTCCTTTGTAATTTGTATGGTTCTTCTCCTGCTTTGTACATCTTCTCATGTACCTCTTCTTCCTTTAATGAATCCTGGTTAAATTTTCTCAAAAAAAAAACATATAAAATAATTCAAAATACAAGGTAAGGCTCAGTTTGGAAGGAGTACAAAGGCAAATATGTAGAGTGCAAAACCTTATATTTTGTATTATTTTATATGTATTTGTACTGTATATATTTGTATTGGTACTCTTTTCAAACTGAGCCTAAAGAACAAAAAAAGTGTTCAATTGCAAGCAACAGAAGCAGGCCACGAATCTCAATTCCCCAAACGTAAAATCGGTTTGAATTTTCACTCATGTATAAACGAGAACAGAGCAGCATAGCAACGTTCACACTGAAAGATCGAACAAAACACACTAGGATGGTCCTCAATGTCTCACAGGATAATTAACTTGACATCTTTTCCCTCAGAAAGAGTGAAAGGGAAGGAATGAGAAGAGGGGGAAACAACATATTGAAATACTACTTTTCATTGGCCTCTTCTTGATGAATGTGAGGATGTGTCTGATTTCTCTGCCAGATAGTGTTCAAGCATGTCTTCTTCATCATCTGCCACTCCACAGAAATAGAGTATTAGAATTATTCAAATTGAAAGAAATAGTTCTTGCCAATCTTGGTATCATCTTAGAAATGGATAGAAAGAATAGTTCTACGTAGTTTAAGTGGAACATTAAGTGAGAAAAGTCACCTTCAAAATCATCATCGTCAAAGTCGATGTCTTCCTCATCTTCCTCATCAGAGCCTTCAGTGACTGGCATGGCACCTTTCTGTCAACCAAAGTAAGGCACAAAAACAATTATAATTTTTTTTGAAGAATAAAGATAAAACAATTATAATTGCATACATTATAACCTCTAAAATTCTAATACGGGTTCACAAAATATCAAGTATGCAGTATAGAATAATTCATAAAAAAAGTATGATGCATTATGCAGTATATAATAACTCTATACATCAATAACCTAAGAGATGGTGAAGAAGAAACAAAATACCGCAGCTCTGCCACTTTCAAACCACTGCCGACCAGTCAGCTTCTTCTCTTTGGGTGCTGTGAGTGCAGACTCTGGCATCAGCCTGAAAAGTGGTGTATGGTTATTAATCATGAAGATTAAAGTCAGTATCCCATAACTGAGGAAATAATAACAACATCCATAATGTAGGTGTGAAGATTCAAACTGCAGATAGCCAGGCTCTCCACATTGTATCAGTGGGCCCCATGTGCATCCTGTCTATAACCCCACTAACCCACTAACTAGGTTTACCATACAACATCTCGTAGTTATGGAGGTGAAAGCTGCATTGGAATACAAAAAAAAGGCGATAATCATGGATGCCCCAAGAAACATTGGCCTTCAGAAGTGGAGGTAAAAGGTTCGTGGTGATAGAAACATGATGGCATTTAATTACTGACCTGCTTGGTCACTATATGAAATGAGGTGATCTCATTGTTTATGTTTTATATAGAGTTCACCATCTAAAATTGGATATATTCCTAGTTGGCAATAAAATATTGAAGTGAAATCATGTAAAGTTTTCCTTTCTGCTAAGTAGATATTTATTCAGAAAGGAAAAAAATACAAATAGGTCTCTAACATACACCCCAAGTCAGCACAAGTCTAGCACCTACCCAAGCTTACAAGGACCATGTCAAGAGGACAACAAGCCATCCTCTACTCTAGATGCTTCACTGCAACAAAACAGGCTCAAAACACAGCCTATGCCATCGGGATGCCCTGTAAGAAAATTCCTATAAAGTAAGGAACCAACTTCCTAACCTGACATGCCTGGAGAGAGAACTTACTTGGCTCGTTCTAGGGCTAGCTCTGCTTCGAAACGTTCTCTCCATGCAAGAAATGTATCAACAGTAACTGGTTCTCCATGTGGTACAATTATCTGAAAATAAAATATGAAGAAACTTGTCCAGCATATGCACAAAAAGCAAAGCATTTCTAACATGAAGTTATGGGGGTCAAATCCACAGGTCATCACAAGCATGTTGACGTTGAAAGAATACATACATAAAAAAAAGGAACCTAAGCAGGTCATCAACAAATTAGTTGTAATTCAAGAATATTATTGATGTGGAATAAACAGTAGCTATTAGCTATTACCAAAATTATTTGTGAATTATGTATGCCTCAATCCTTGTCTCAAGTCCATCACTCTACTTGTGGCTTGATATCAAGGGGAAAAAACTTTCCCATCTAAGTTGGTATTTGTTTCATTAAACAAGTTATTTAATTATCTATACAAGTCCAAGATTACATGGTTCAAACAACCAATGGTACAACTATGGCCAATTTAGTAAATGTAACTAGATTCTCTACTTTTTAGTTTTTTTAACTCTTTAAGTCTGGCATTATTAGGATTTTTCTTGTCGTACTAATTTTACGCAGGCACTTATCAATTTTTTACCCTCTACTTCCTATCTTTTTTTCTAAATTACAGTTCATATGCTCATTTTTCTATCATTTCTTTCCCTCAACCTATTTCTTGTCATGGACCTACCATTGGTTCTGCAGAGACAAATTGAGAGAGCTGATTTCTTCAATTTCCAATCATAAACCTTCATAGTTCTCTTACACTAGCTGCATCCTCGATTTCCACCTCTTTTTTCCCCACAAATCCGCTTAAACTATGGCCATCCTTCAAATATTATTCCATACAGCCTAGTTCAAAGTAACAAGTATTAAAGCTTATCTTCTTTGTTTATCAACATCTACATCCATCTAAATTTAGTCCAGTATCTGGGATCTGTCATTCTTTAAACTAAATGAGACCTGTTTTAGACCTTATCTAGTTCTAGTATTAGTTTGACATCTCAGAGCTTGACATAAGTTTGTGTGTAATTAGTACTACGATAATAAAATGAACCACAGTAACAAAATAGAGAAGATAAAAGTACAAAACGATCAACAGAATAGAATTGTGAAACAGGACTCATGTTGCCAACCCCATATAGTTTGGATAAGGCTTGGTAAATTATCTAGGATAAAGAACTTCTAGGTCCAATTATTTTATAATTTTTTCCTTTCCTTGCAGCCAAGAAGGATGAAAGATAGTTCGGCATTATCAACTGAGATCACACCTTCAATTCAGAAACAAAGCAGTGAAAGTCATAGGCAGGACAAGCAGCCATACGTCATCTTTAGCTGTATCTTCTTCTTCAGTTTCTGAAACCCCAGCATCTTGACCAAACCTTTCACCCAACCACTCTTTAGCTGATGTAACAAGTGTGTAAATCATAGCCATACCAAGATTCTCAGATGCCTATGACACAGAAATGATCCAAATATCACAATTAACTGAGTTGCAGAGACAAAGAAATGGAAAGTGCAGGTATTTCAGTTTCTGTCAGTTGACATCAAAATGAAAGTCTTGCTTACATGACTGAAGATAAGATAAACCTTCTTATATGCCAATTAAAAGAGAAACAATACTAAGTTTATTTTAAATCCTCAATCAGTAGAGAGCTCCAAGTTGCAATTGACAAATAATACCCATTAACTATGACATTATAGTAGTAGCAGTATGGGTAATAAGATAGCAACAGAAACTCAAAAACAACTGCAGACCCATCCCACCTTTGAATCAACTCATAAACACAACAACCATACTGCAGAAAGAAAGGACTTATGGAACAATATCCTTTTTCTTTCTTCTTTTCAGGTGGCGTTGGGGAGCATCCAGCCCATCTATTTTTCAGGTAAATAGAGTGAATTGTTTGGAAAACATGCACCAAAATGAACATTACATAATGAACACCAAAAAATAAGCATCAGTTCAGTTATATAACCATGAATCAAGTTTAAAAAAAAAAAATGTTTTGGAAACTAAGCTATAATGAATTCTACAACCATGCTACAAAATAAACAAAGATGGTATATAAACCATGCTAAAATTGGGCTTTGCTCAAGTTAAACTGTTGCTCATTTAGATAGAAAAGGAGAGATCTGGTGAACTGAGGTTCAAGAATAGGGTAGCCCATTTTCTACCAAAGTGTTCCCCTGCATGTCCTAACAAAAATGGTATTTCCTCCATGTTCCTATCTTAAGTTTTGCGCTCCAAAATTTTCTATGGGGTTCCCCATTATAATTTGTTATCCCCCCAACCAAAACCAGATTTGGTCCTCACAAAAGCATCCTCACAGCCCCTTGCAGCCGTGCATTGAGAACATCTCTGTACTTGTATGTTTTTATTCATGGGGAGATATTCCCAATGCATGGCTGCAAGGGGCTGTGAGGATGGTTCTGTGAGGACCAAATCCAAATTCCCCCCAATCCAGGGAAAAAGCTTTTAAGCAACTCATCCAAGTTTTTCCATTATCTATGGTCTATTCAAACATTTCCATCCCCATAGTCGCAACAACTTATAAAGGTTCCTGGGAAATAACTAATTGCAAAGAGAAAGAACATTTTAAAGAAAATTCAGAATATGCTGAACAAGAATAACTTTCAGGGCAAAAAACTAAACATATATACAGTTATTCACAGATACATATACATGTAAAACTGCACATACATACGACATATGGAGAGAGAGAGAGAGATGAAATTAAAATAAAACCAAGAAACACTAGTGAACAACCTCCTGCTCAAGCTTTTCTTTTAAAACTTTAAGATCAGCTGCCGGTATCCCTCGTATACTGCAGAGCATATCAACCATTGAAAGTTAGAAATTAAAACATCATTTAGATGAACAATTCAGGCAAGTATTTCAGTATTCAACCTGAGCAAGAAGTTAATTGAGTAGATTTAAAGAGACTTTTCCATCAATAAATATGGATACAAATCATAAAGATTATACTGCTACAGCTTGAGCTTGGGAGCAATGAGGTAAACTTTTAAATAAGTGTGATTAGGGATGAATAGTTAGGGTTAAGAAAGATTAAGCAATTTTTTTATTAGCAACAATATGGAAATATTTTTTTGGTAAGTAACAATATGGAAATAATTTCATATTGCTATTTCTTGGGGTAAAAATGAAATTTCAAAATATAATAGACTAACAAGTAAAACTGGTAGGCCCATTTCTTTAAGCTATCATAAGTCCACATTTTATGTTAGCATATGAAACTATAAATATATTTGGAGCTTGATAATATTAGAACTTTATTTGTTGCTCAAATTCATGAGGGGACCAAACAGTCCAGCCCCCATAGGATGAATATGAGAGAAGAAACAAGTACCATATTCCCTTTGGGCTCCTCAACCCAAAGGGATTTTTTTCCTGCGGTTCCCTTATTGAGGTCCTCTGCCAGACCTCCTCTCAACAGGTTTTCCCATTTAAAGAAGTCTGGTGTAGGCCAATTCCCCCTAAGGTTATGGTTTTGTGTTGGGAAGTGTACCATGGAAAAGTAAACACCGTGGGTAATCTACAAAAGAGAAGACTCTTCCTTTATATTTCACCTAACTAGTGTACTCTTTGCAGATCTCATAGTAAGGACTGTTACCATCTATTTTTATCTTGTATCATCACCGCTCAGCTTTAGGTTTGGCTTTTCCCTTTGTATGGATGCAGGTGGTATGTGCCAGAAGAAGTAAGCACGATTTTTAATCCTTCTACCTTCTCTTGGCCCCATAAAAGAGGAAGAAGCATGTGGAGGTGTGCGAGGGCAGCTTTGATCTGGACAATTTGGGAAGAAAGGAATGCCAGAATCTTCCAAGAAAAGGGGAGGAGCAGCCAAGCTTTGAAAGACTGCATTATGTATAGGACAATACATAGATTAAAGATATTGGAACTCTTTCACCATTTCTCTTTTAATGACTTATGGAGAAACTAATTAGCGGTAGCAAATTCTTCCTCTCCAAAGGCTAGGGTATCTACAACCTGGGCCCCCTCTGCTCAAGGCTCAATGAAACTGAATTTTGATGGGAGTAGCCAGGGCAACCCAGGGCCCTCTGGTTTGGGAGGTGTTTTGAGAAACAAAGCTGGAGAGGTTGTTCTTCTCTATTCTGGCCCATTGGGTTTTGGGAATTCTGTTAGGGCAGAATTGCTAGCTGCCATACAAGGAGTAGTTCTTGCAAATGAATTGGGTGTGTGTTGCAGCTGCTGATTGAAGGGGACTCTAAGTGGTGGAATGGCTGAATAATCCAGAGGATGTCCCGTGGTGTTACAAGAATGAGTTAAAGAAATTCAAGTGACTGCCAAGGAATATGTCTGTAACAGTACAGTGGGTGGAGAGATCAGCTAATGCCTTTGCCAATGTTTTGACAAAACAAGGGGCAAATAGGGAAACTCTGTTCTGGGCTCAACTGTAATCTTGTATTAGCTGTCTCAGAAAAATAGAGGGGCTTTTCATGTAAATCTGTCTCTAAATTAATGAAAATGTGATAATGTTAACTATCAAAAAAAAGGTTTTCATTCTTGCATTAACTGTCTCAGAAAAATAGAGGTTTCTCTAACAAGAAATTCTTCACAATGTTTGGGTGTTAGATAAGTGATGTGACGATGTGTATCAGCGTATGCTTCAAGGTTAAAGTGTATTTCACATGTATGCTTCTATGCTCCATACAATCTGCAAACCATGAAGTGTATACTTCACAAGCAAAGGGACATCACTAGCACATCAGAATGGTTTGGTATATACCTCACCCCCAAGGCATGCCTCGAGGTGTATGCCTCAAACACTCTGAAAAAACTGGTCAACCTCATCAAGTTCAACGAAGAGCACAGACAATCTTTGAAACAGGAAAAGCAGTTCTACCTGAAAGGCATTTCCAACACCTATCAGAACACCATTAGTCTCCCCTATGTGATTCTTAACAGATTCCCCAATGCCTAATGCACCTAGGTTGTCAATACAGAAGCCATCAACATCAAAGTTTAGTTTGAAATAACACGCACAGGGGAAACCAAATCACAAGGGCAACAGCTCTCCTAGTTGAAGATGCTGCCACTGAAGGAAAGTCCCTAATGATCTCATCTGCTGAGAAACCCTTTAACTTGTCGCTTATTTTCATCTGGTATGCTACTCTTATTGCAACAAGTCAAACAGGTCCTGCTGTGATGTCCTTACTTGAGAAGAATTTTGAATTGTTTTCTTCCCACATGGACCAAAGAATTGCTGCCCTTGTTCACCCCAACAAAATATCACCCATTCTTAGGAGAGAAGAATAAAGGTCTGGAAAGGCTTTCTACATCCCGTGGATGTTAACAACCGAGCCAGAAAGAGAAGAAAAATTTCCAGGCAGCAGAGACAAAGTTACAAAAGATTAATAAATGGAAAATGGTCTCATAGTTAGCTTTACAAATAGAGCATCTATGGCATCAAAGGAACCAAATAAAAGGTCTTCTCCTTTGAAAGACCACATAGGAATTGGTTCTAACTTCTAGTTGATAGGCTTCTCAGCAAAAAGTTTTCCTGGAGAGTCGAACCCAGACAAATTGCTTTTACTGGCAACACAGATTGAGGTGGAGCAGAGAAAACCTTGGAAGAAGGATGCACAAGGAAAAAACAGAGTCTAGACATTACGAACACCGTATCCTTCCATCAATACCATTAGGATCAAAGAAAATCCCTTCCAGAAAATTAATTAGTGCTAGCATCCACAATTTCCCTATCCCACAATCATCTCCTAAACCAATGGTCTAAAAGGTGCCTGCCAAGAAAAAAGAATAGAAAGAAGAAATAGGGTAATTTTGCATGGTTAACAAAACTAGTTCTCCTTATTTATCATTAACTGCAACTTTATTAAACTTAGTAAGATCCTCAGCCTACCCAAGGAGGGTAGGGCAATGCCCAAACGGAAACTCTCATAAGAAGAGGCAGTTCACAATTAATAGAGAACTTTCAAAGCACAATCTCTACCTAAATAATTCTCAGCATGCAAACTTCACAGGATAGAAGAGAAGTTTTTCTTTCGTTTCCTTTTTTTGCCTAATGAAATGCACACAGTATTGCATTTGACCAACCTTTTCACAATGAGAACTGGGGGCTCATCTGGATACTTTTCAGTGTGAGAGAAAATCAAAGCCAGTTGAACTGCAACAATTTTTTTTGAAAAAAAAAAAAGAAAAAAGAAAGAATCATTAGCTCATATAAAGTTGGTAACTAATTCTCTTGGAATACTACAGTCAGAAAATTAAGCTTCAATAAATATATAATTTTGAGTGGCCCTGGTTTTGAATGATCTAATTGAAACAAAAGCAGGCATGTTCCAAATTGTTGTATCATCTAAACTAAAACCTGGAGTGGTTCTCGCCTCATCAGCATCATCATCCTGCTTCAAATAAAAGTAAAAGGTTGTATCAGTACAGTAAGAACATCTAAGATGAGAGGCAACCAAAACTTTTAAGGAGTGAAATAGAGAATTAGTAGAGTTCTTTGGTTCTATTATTGTTGTTGAGACATGCAAAAAACAAAGTTTCACTTATAGTCCTTAGTTCCAATTTCTAAATCTATCCAATGATTGTCAAGAACCAAAAACTAGGCTCCTTTTACYTTAATATAGCTGTAGCATACATTAGTATACTGGTGCAAAGAAATAATCTACTGCAAATACTCGTGCAGCATGATCCCATTAACATGGAGAAAATGGATGATAATTTATATATGGAAAGAATCATCATAAGAAAATAACAAAGACAATATTCAAGAAGAAAGGCTTTGGCATGAAGAACTTTTTTTTTTGAAAAGTGTGAACATTAATGAAGAAGAGAAGGGGTCACTTCTTGCATTCTCTCATTTCTCCACTGATTTGTATGATGTGATTGAGAAACATCAAATCAACTATAGGTATCATTCTCTGGTGCTTTTAGATGAGAAAGTGATGACATTTCTTCCAGAGCTTGATGGGTCTAGATTGGGTGACCCAAGTCATTTTGTTGGCATGATCTGCCACTTGAAATTGATCAGTCTTGGTTCTAAATGAAGAGTACACTGAAAGACAACCATTCATGCTATTATGTGAAGATTTGGGAGGAGAGGAAAGCTGCATCTTTTCAGGAAAATGCCAGCATTCTGCAGAGTCAAGAAATTACATTCTCTTCCTCGCCATTTCTTGGGCCAGGCCATGGCACGATGCCAACAAACAAATTCAAAGGCTATGCAATGCCCTCCAAAGGAACCTTGTGGAGATTTTTCAGTCCTCCCCCACTCTTCCCAGATGGTTGTGCACTACATCCCAAAGACAAACTTGAAGATGACAACAGGGTGGGAGATTTCTCCACCCCAAACAACAACTTTACAGCTTTGCCCAAAACATTTGATGCCTAACAGCCCCTTGTTTAGATAGAGTATATGCCATCCCATTTGCTGTTCTTCTCACCCATTTGAAAGCAAGACTCAACTCCCTTGTGATATACTTTCAATTTTTCAGATTGTGTTTCTGTAGATCCATGGGATTTGGGTATTGCATCTTGTCCAAGAAATGACCACCTAAGAGTCCCCTTCCACCTCCAGTTGTGGAATCCAAATTGCTTACCAAATTTTAATCCATGTAGTAATCCAAACAGTTTTGCTGTCAATGCATCACCGTGTTCTAAGGGTCCTGAATACAAAGCTAGCACCTTTCCTTCTGAGTCTCTAAATACACCTCCTAACCCAGCCATGGCCTAGTGACTATTAGTTCACCGTTGGGTCCTTAACTAATAGAAAGTTGAAAATGTGTTCAGTAAGATTTGAACCTATGACCTCTTATTTTCATATATTGCTTAATTACCATTAGTTCACCTCTTAACTTGTGTTAATTAATGACTCGTTATTATACATATTACCTTATTGCACATGTATTTAAAGAAAATGTAAATTAAGAGACTTGAACCCTAATCTTTACTTTAAAAATTAAGGAACTTGCCATCGATACACCATATTTAAGTATGTTAAAAGTTGTAAGATGTATTATATATAATGTTTATATGACCCCCAGTATGTATATGTATATGCCACATCATCACGGTTTGACCCCAGTTGAACCTCTGACCCGTGAACCTCTCCCCCCTCCGGTTCTATGCCTGGCCCGGTTCTCAAAACATTGCCAAAATCTTAACCAAATTTGCAACTTTTATTTTTACTGTGTCTATGATTTCCACCTCTGTCCTACTCTTTTCATTCTCCCATTTCTTTCTTCCCATACAATCCAGATCATGACAGCCCTCACTGCTTTCCACAACAAACTTCCTCTTTTCTTTGGTTGTCTCAAGAAGTTTGGGTCAAAGAGACCCACCACATCCTGACGATCCCACCTACACCCAAAGAGAGAACAAAGATGCTCCCATATACAAAGCACAAAAGGATAGGATAAACAAAAGATATGGGAAATACTTTTACCATCGTTTTTATAGAGGATGCACAAGTGAGGGGAAGGCACTTATTTGGCCTTCTTTTCTATAGCACATCACAGATGTTAATCTTTCCAAGGAAGACTTCCCAACATAGGGCCTAAATTTTAGAAGGGATTGGCTTACTCCAAATTTCTTTCACCAGGAAATTCACCCCCAAGGTAGATGCCTGAAATAATAAATTGAAGAATGAGGCACAAGTAAAATAGCTTGTTGGAGAAATTGACCAAACCCTAGTGTCCTCTACATTTTGATCCCAAAAAAAAGTCAAGTCTGGCCAATAGAAGACCCCTTCTGAATCCAAGCTCCCAATTTAAACCCAAGGCAGAGAAGTTCACAAACTTAGAAAAGGGTTCAGATTTGTAATTGGAAAGTGCATAAAACACAGGAAATTGGACCTTTAGTGGATGTTTACCTATCCAAAGGTCCTTCCAGAACGAGACTCTTACTCTTAGTCCATTCCCCACATCATACCAAACGACCATGTATGCTTTCAATAACCTTTTGCTAGAGCATATCTCTTTCTAAGGGAAACCTCCACATCCACTTTTCTAGAAGAGATAAATTCTTCTGGACTAAATTTCCTATCCCAAGCCCACCCTTCTCTTTAGGTCTAATAACTTGTTCTCATTTCACCAAGTGGTCTTTCTTTCCTCCCTCAGTTCCCATAAGAAATCCCTCATTAACTTTTCTAGCTACCTAGCTATTTTAATAGAGATACGAAAGGTGAACAAGAAGTAGATAGGAAGGTTGGAAAATGTGGCTTTGATCAAAGATACCCTCCCTCCCATTGAAATGTAATTTCTTCTCCAAAGTGCCAACTTTTTAGCAAATCTCTCCACAACAAGCTTCTAGAAATTCTCAAATCTTGGATTTCCATTCAGGAGGAGTCCTAAGTACTCCAGGGACCTTTTTTTTTTTTACTTCACAGCCTAAGAATTCAGCTATTCTGAGGATTTCCTCTTCTTGCAAATTCAGCCCCACCAAACAACTTTTCCCCAAGTTGATCCTTAAATTAGATAATTCCTCACAAGAGTTGACAAGAAGCTTTAAATTTTTAAGGGACTCGACGCTATTATCATCGCAAAAAAGGATTAAGTAATCTGCACACTGCAAGTGGATAACCACAATCTCAGCCCTTCCCATCCTCCAACCTTTGATTAAATTATCCAAAACAGCCTTAATAATCGTTCTACTTAGGACCTCCACAATGATAGTGAAAAAGAAAGGGGGTAAAGGTTCATCATGTATTACGCCTCTTTTATCTGAGAAAAATCTCTAGCAGACCCATTGATCAGAATTGAATATTACACCGAGCTCAAGCACCCCTTAACCCACAATCTCCACCTTTCCCTCAACCCAAATTTCTCCATAACCTCCAAGTCCAGTTTACAAATAAAACCTTTCCCTCCTTTCTTCTTCTCTCAAGGAGAATGTAAAAGAAGTTTCAGGCATAACAACACAACAATTAATATGAATAAATGCAAGGCAAACAGCATTGGACCTTTATAAGTGTTCCATGGAAAATAATAATCTATCACATGTCTAATTGCAGGACAAAGGGATTAATCAATTGCATGATAAGCAATAAAAATAAAAAACATTGGATCCAAAGAAAGATACCTATACCTGGGGAGATAGTGTAATTTGGAAGCACCGGTTAGATGTATTTAGCCCACTCTCACTGGAGTCAATTTCTGGCATGGAGAAATGTGTACAAAGTTTAGAGATAGGCAACAGAAGAATCCCAAACTTTAAATTAGTTAAATAAACAAATCCAGAAGTAGCATTGAGAAACCTTTAAACTCATCCATGAGTATAGCTTGCAATGCTTCAATTTCCATCTCTTGTTCTTGCACGTAGTCTGCATTAAAATGGCAATCAGTAAGAAGACAACAAATGAATTAGAAAGTGAAGTATTTGAACATGCACGTTCACCAGCAATTTTTCTGCCATTTCAAATATGCATGAGCATGCATATCATGAAAAAATGTGCCCATCTTTACGAATATTTTTCTGCCTTTTCAAATGGCAAGCAATGAAGAGGTGTACTCTTTGTAATTCTTTATTCTTCTGTCATTGTTGTTTGAAAAGATAATTTATGGATTTCTGAAAATGCCCAAAGAGCACAGACAAGCAAACCGCAGCACTCCACACTTCCAGTAAAACAATAAGATAAACCAAACAAAATGAAATAAAAATACTTTAACCACAATTTCCCAGAGAAATTTAGCTAGTCTCTACCAAAATCAGATCAATAAAACATCAACTGAGGATGTAGAAAGCTCCAGAACCTCCAGGCAGTATCAATTGCATTCACTGATAAAGCAACATTTTGCAAATTCCGGGTATTCGTGATTTTCTGAAAGCGGCACATTGACTGACATCACCTTATTTCCAATAGTAGCGAATTACAGTATCCGGCTCACAAACACCAAACGGCAATGAGGTAGGTGTTAACGCAATTGAGATAGAAACTAAATCATAGTAGAAACCTTCGGTGTCATCAGAAATCCAACAATCATATATTGAAAAATATTCCCGGGATATCAAGCAACCCCGTTATAACATCAAAAACAGGTGGGGTGGGGGGAAGAACTGCATTAGACACTTTTTTAAGCAACAAAAGATTGTATGTTACCAGTCATGATTGCTCTCTGCTTGGAACTTCGGTGCTCGTATTTGCCTTTCTTTATCGCCCTCCTCAAGGAACTCAAACACAGTCACGGAACAACACCCCACGAGCTAGCTGAAAAACCTAAGCTCCTTTGTACATCTTCTTTTTACAAAAACAGTGATCCGTGCATAGTACGGACATTATTGAAAAAAAGTTAAATCATAGAAATACATAATAGTAGATAATTGTTTTATATTTTAATTTTAAAATAATTATTAATTATTTATATTTTATATATTATTTTTAATATTTTTTATAATACAGAAAAAATAATTAACTCCAAGTAGGGTTATTCATTAAATCGATAAAATTGACCTAACTCGACTTGAATTGGTCACTTTTTTGTATTTTCGATTAGCTTCGGTTTAGCAATTTCCTAACCTAACCAAGTCAGGTTAGTTTTGGTTTGGCCATCTATAAATCGACCAAAAACCGCTGGTTCTTAATCGAATATATTAATATTTTATATTTAAAATATAATTTTTTAGTATAAGAAAATGAGAAAATTATTATATTTCTTAGTCTAAAATATTTTAAATTATAAATTTAAAATTTTTATTTTATTTTTTAATAATATCGTTGTAATGTTTTGAATTTAACTTAATTTTTAAATTTAAATATTTTGAACTAACCAACCAAATTGAAAATTGACCCAAATTGATACCAATGTTTTCAACCCACCATTGGCATGACTGGTTGAACCATTCGAACTGTCACCTAACATTGGTTCCGGGTCTAATGGGAACCCATGCAAGACACGCACTTTGTTAAGTGAAAGTAAAATATATAGTGTGTTGATGTGGAACGGTCTAACTCATTTGACTTGAACGATTAACCGGTGACCGCAACTCAAATGCAAACACGGGATGGTCTTCAGGTCGGTTTTAAAATATTGTTTGATACAACTCGAATTGGTTAATTTTCACTAATTGTTGATTTGTCGATCATTTTTGAGTGGCCAACTCCCCAACCCAATTATGGGTGCAAATGGATCGAATCATTCATAGATTGGTTCTTAGTCCTGAAGTTTTGGTACATACACTGGATGAGTGTTGTGGCATTTATATAGCTTAGGGATCATTGTTGTGCATGAATCCCATACAAGAAATCTCTTTCTAAGCCCTGTCTTTTCATTTACCTCCTTATTTTCCTATTTAATTTTTTTTATGTAGTCTGAGAAACAATGTTACTAAGCTGAACTGTTAGTGTGCAGCAAAGAACAAACTACTTACTCTATGGCAATTATTGGTTTCAGGTTGCGAACAATTATTACAGGCCAGATCTAAAGAATGCAGCTCTTGCAAGGCTTAGTGCTGTTCACAGGAGTCTTAAGGTTGCCAAGTCTGGTGTGAAGAAGAGGAACAGGCAGGCTGTGAAGGTCCGTGGTAGGAAGTGAGATGCGTGTGAACCTTTTTCAATCATTTTCAAAGCCATTCCATTCCTTGTATTTGGTAGAAATAGATTTCCTTTTCTATTATGTTTTTTAATTGAGTTGAAAAGAACACATCGGTTTTTGGATTGGCTCCTGAGTTTAGAAAGCTTTTAGTTTAGAAACAGAGTTTTGTGACACCTTTTGGGATATCCTTGCAATTGTTAAGGTTGATGGTATGCTTATGCTATGAGGCCTATGACTACGTTGTTGATGCTACTAGCAAAAGGAGGAATACTTGTCGCAATACTTAACCGAAACGATTCAAACGAGTACCACCATACTCGAAATGGAGGTGACTTTCATCATTATGATTTCTGCCCGCAGAATAATGGCTGCTTTTGTGCCGTGGCTCTCTTTAGTTAAGTTGTAGAAATGCCTTTCTGTTCGGATTTCTTCACAGAAATGGTGTGGGACCAATTCTCGGCTGCTTGGTGCTGTCAGGTGGATGTAAAGACCAATTCTGTTGAGGTCGAAATCCCAACCATTCTTAGGTATGTAAATGTTGGTTGTGCTCCGGGTCTGGTTCTTTGGTAGGGCAATTCCAATATTAGATTTGACCAAACTCCCATAACTAATCTCTAGCGGCAATTCCAATATGTTTTTGCAAGAAACAGAAACTGTGGATTTATAATATAACAATTCAAATGACGGGCTGTGGGTTTGTAACTACTATCGAGTCAGCTTTACTCCCAGTCTCTAATTGAACGCCGCCGTGTATACCACCAGTATACGCACTACTTGTTCCCACATCTATACGCACTACTTGTCCCCTATCTAATAGTGGGTAGCAGACCTGAGCCCCACTTTGTTGAGCATGGTTTAACTGAACGTTTTGACTGTTTAGCGGATTGAAACTAATGATAAAGTCTTACGCCAGTAATAAAATACATAGGCCTCTAAAACTTCATCACGAACAGTCAAAGCCTTCAACTAATCAGAATTCCACTTTGGTGGCCTTTTTTCTATCATTGATGGTTTGGCAACCAGAAAAAAATCGATCATTGATGTAATAAAAGAATCGTGTTTAGTAATCATTAATAATATATAATATTTTGTACCTTTTTGTTGTAGTTTATTAATGTTATTCAATGTCAGATTATAATCAAAATTTGATTGAATATAAATCTAACGGAATAGATTTGATTCAAATACGAATGTCAATCAACAAATTTCGATCCTGGCGTATCTGATTTGATCCGTCCGCAGCTCTACTCTTCATCACAGTATGAAGGGTGAGAAATTTTTTCAACCTGGAATACTTCACTAATATTATTTGCTCTGTTAAGTTTTTACGTTGAATTTTGAAAAAAAAAAAAAAGCACAGCCTCTTTATTTAAAGGGGTTTTTACCATTTAGTCCACCCCTAGGTGGTGCTACTACTAGTCACGGGCAGGATGTGGACTGAATCCTGCCCGTGGATTGATGTCAAATTCACGGGCAGGATGTGGTTTATAGAGGGGTTATTAGTAGACTAGGAGGGGGCTGCAAATTCAATTTCTGAGGGGGATTGGTTAAAATGATGCTGATAAATTATAATGCATACAAAAAATGGTGGTTGCATATAGGCAAGGTTCCTAACTATGGGGACTTTCTCTATTCTTTTATTTGGTTTTCTTGGAGAAAGCAGAACTTTACTCAAATCTGATTCTACCCCTTAAACCTTGGTTAGTTTGGTCATTTGATGCTTGGACATGGGGCACCTTATCTAGTATTCTAGTTAGTGGTTTGGAAGTCTGGCGGCACTACACCCTGGCTATTTTAAGCAAAGAACCAAACGCTAGCCCTTACCACCGAAAAACTAAATAAATAACAGCCCAGTAGCTCATGAATTTCTGGGCTTTTATAAATAGAAGGATCTTCAATTTCTTGTTATCTTCTTCCTTTCAAAAAATGTTAGCTTTTATAAATAGAACTTGGGTATAATATAGTAAAGCTCATGAACTGGCAAATAGAGCTCGTAAGGATATTCTATGCCATCTTTTCACACTAACACGGCTAATAGATGGTTACTGCAAGATGGGGATAAGTTTTTTTTTTTTTTTTTTTCTCTTGGTACTATTTTCTTCGGTAAATTTGCTTCTTGGTGCAGAAAAGAAAACAAGTTAAAGCCCTAAACAAGTAATGCCTCAAAATATTGAACCAAAATTGCATTAATGAAGATCTACTGGCACTTGGTGTACAGTCAAAATGTAAAAAGTTCCCACTTCAAACAAACCACCTAAGGACTATAAGGGGTATGATCAGAATCAAAAGCAACAAGAACAATCAAAGGGACAAAGTGGGGTGCCTCCAGCATCTGACTTCACAATTCCCAGCTCTTCCTCGGTGTAAATAGCAAAGCCATCCTCCGTTCTCTTTCTTTCTCGAGGAGGGGGATCAACAAAGCCATCTTTTTTAGGAAACTTATTCTTCTTTTTCTTTTTCTTTGGCTTCTCAATACCATCTTCTGTTGCCTTCTCCATTTGTTGTTCTTCGGCTTTCTTCAACTTCTTGTTGGAGAAGATTTCATCAATTTCTTGTCCAAGCTTTTTCCTTTTGGGTTTGATTTTTTCCTGTTCTGTAACTGGTTCCTCTTCTTTCATTGGAGCAGCCTTAATAGTTGAACCTTTTCTGGCCATAGCTGAAGCCAAGAGCTGCATATACAATTGTTTATGACAGTGAGATAGAGCTACAATACAACTACAAGAAACACAAAACTGAAGAACCCAATAAAGGGCGAAAGGGATAGTTCAGAAATCAGAAAAAAGAGTCCAATCAAATCAATGCAACCTCCCCAACTCCTTCAGCTAATTGTGAGCTGACTAATTTCATGGGGTTCTCAAATTTATTGAATCTAGAAAAAGAAGTTGACCAATAGATGTACTACAGTATATTAGTTTCTGAATTAACATGACGGAAGATTGACATATACAGAAAAATAACAGTTAAAGTAAGTAAATATAATTGCCTAAAAAACCCAGAAAATTAAAACTTTATGAAAAGCGAAGAGGAAAACTCAAATTGGAAGATGGACCTATCATGCTTAAGTCCAGAATAAGAGAAAGTTTCAGTCAGGATTCATGGCATCTTCCATATGGGAATACACATCTTCACCAATACAAGCATCTCTCTGGCTCTCTTTAAYGAGTCTATGACAGTAGTTGGAAATAAACCTAAATCCCTCTTTTAATGAGAAAGGCCTATCAGGTTCCACATACCACTTACTAAAGCATGAAGCAGAGAGGAGAACTTGCAGAGAATGAGAACTCACAACACTCAAGAAGAGACCTACTCTAGGAAGGCCCCAATTTCTAGTTTTCCTCCGTAAGAACAGAAGCTAGAGGAAGAAGTGCAGAGGCCATTGTAAATATCTTGGTATGATTCACAAAATAAACAAAAAAAAAAAGAAAAGAAAAGAAGGAACGAAGAAAAGGGTTTTTACCTGATTGATAGTGTGGTTGCTGGCTAAAACAAATCTTTTCAGTTCCTGAGTCTTGCTTCTTAGTTGTTCAGGAATGG